ATCCACGGCCAGTACTATGATCTGCTGCGGCTCTTCGAGTACGGCGGCTTCCCTCCAGAGGCCAACTACCTCTTCCTAGGCGACTACGTCGACCGTGGCAAGCAGTCTCTCGAGACGATATGCCTTCTGCTGGCGTACAAGATCAAGTACCCCGAGAACTTCTTCGTCCTCCGTGGCAACCACGAGTGCGCCTCCATCAACCGCATCTACGGCTTCTACGACGAGTGCAAACGAAGATACAACATCAAGCTGTGGAAGACGTTTACCGACTGCTTCAACTGCCTACCCATTGCCGCCATCATCGACGAGAAGATCTTCACTATGCACGGCGGTCTCAGCCCAGACCTTAACTCGATGGAACAGATCAGGCGCGTCATGCGACCCACGGACGTGAGTCAGGCTCAGATTGCAACTGCAACTGCAACTGCAGTGTCCATGAAGCGCACAGGCTAACAAGGACAGATTCCCGACTGCGGTCTCCTCTGCGACCTTCTCTGGTCCGACCCAGACAAGGACATTACCGGATGGAGCGAGAATGACCGAGGTGTGAGCTTCACATTCGGGCCCGACGTAGTATCGCGCTTCCTGCAAAAGCATGACATGGACCTTATCTGCCGTGCGCACCAAGTTGTCGAAGACGGTTACGAGTTCTTTTCCAAGCGCCAGCTCGTCACACTGTTCAGCGCACCCAACTACTGCGGTGAATTTGACAACGCTGGCGCGATGATGAGCGTTGACGAGAGTCTGCTGTGTTCCTTCCAGGTAAGCTCTAGGCGCACAAGGTTACGTCGAACAGGTACTAATGGGGTATGCAGATTCTCAAGCCTGCAGAGAAGAAACAAAAGTACGTCCCCAGCCTTGGCAGCGGCAGAGCAGCGTCTCCTCGCACCAAGAAAAGCTAGAAGTAGCCATGACCACACTCATTCAGAATCAATACGAACTTCTCTTACAGCAGGTTTGGGCGTCGTTAGACGATGGCAATCGTTAGCCCACCCCCGAGACCCGATGCCGAACGACGCGAAACACGCTCCATCTCGATTTCCTTACCCCCTTTCAGCCATGGGCTTGCGGACGGCCGTTGGCATTTGTACACAATCCTGTCGTTGATTCTTGCCATTCCAGTACCGTTACACGCACACGACGACAAAGGACACGACGGTCGGCCCTCTCTTTCCCGGACGATTCAACGACGACGACGGTGGCTAGCCTTGGCGTTTGGCATGGTTGGCGGCGACACAAGAGGGCGGATATCAGAGCATTGTTTTATGTGGACGTCACAGGCAACAGCACTGGAGAAAGCGCGGAAAGGTCGAAGGGGGGAAAGACATGGTGGACAACATGGGGGAATTCACCGCTGGCTCGCGGCTTGTCATGACGGGGTGCGAGACGTCGATGCGATAATGTCAGTCGTTTTCTTTTCTCTTTGTGTCGCGTTTGAACAAGCAGCCTTTTGGGGATGAAGCATGTAAGCTAGTGTGGAATGGAGTATGCGTATCCCTTGCTCGTGGTTGGCGTGTTTGCCATGGTGACCAAAGTGGATTGGATCAGCGTGCGACAGTGTCCGTGTCAGCCACTTGGGTGTGGCGGTGCAGAAAAGCAGGCCTGCAGCAGGCAAGGGCGGGCGCGGGCGGCGGGATGGCCTGTGTGTGATTGGCGGCGGCGCGCGCGGGGGCTTGGGAGGCGATCTGAGCGTAGGCGCCCGACGCGAGCGTCGTCGTCGTCGTCGTCGTTGTTTGAAGGTCCATCACGCAGTGTTTGTCAGACGCTCTTCGTCACGTCACTCCTTGTCCACCCCGTCGGCCGGCCGCGCCCTCGTGCTGTTTCGCTCGGTTGGATTCTGTCATGCCTGCGACGACATAGCACATTGCCTGCATCGCCATCTGCCATGGCCGAGTACTCGTACGTCCACGTTGGCCGAGCGAGGCGCTGCGTGGGCCATCGCTAACGTCCATTCTCCCACCAGCTTCATAGCCCACTCGGCCCCCTGGGTCCACGGCTCAGGTGCAATGACGCCCTCGCGACTGCGCTCTCTGTCGCCCATGCCCAAGAGCCATGTCACACGATCCATGTCGACACCACAGCTCGCCAAAACCGCCCAGTCGCAATCGCAGTCCGACAGCGACGGCATCAACACCATCCCCGACCCGCGCTCGGCCACTCCACAGCCGCCTCTGTCGCGCCACGACTCGACCGACTCGCACCCCGACCTCAGCCAGGAAGTCTCGACCCTCAGCACCAAGCTCATCAACGCCATCAATCACTCCACCATGCTCGACGATGCACTGCAGCAGACGAGACACGAGCTCGACGCCGCGCGCGAGAAGCTGGCCCACCTCGAGGCCCAGGTCAAGGCCCATGAGGCCAAGCTCTCCACGGGGCTGCTGGTGGACAAGGTCGTCTACGACAAGATGGAGAAGCAGCTGTCCACGGAGCTGCGCGAGGAGCGCAAACGCAGAGCCCACGCAGAAGCTGCCAAGCGCAAGACGGACAGCGAAGTCGAGGCCCTGACGGCTGCCCTGTTCGAAGAGGCCAACGTCATGGTTGCAGCTGCGCGCAAAGAGACGGAGGCTTCGGAGAAACGCGGCGAGCAACTCAAGCAGCAGTTGGGCGACGCTGACGTCCTGCAACACTCCCTCCAGGACCAGCTGCACGATCTCAAGGCCGTTGTCGAGAGGATGAGCTCTCATGGCGACGACAACGAAAGCCACGCTCTCACTGCAACCACCGCTCCGTCAACACCAGGCATCGCTCCGGCCGACAAGATGAGCAAGCTGTTCGAGGCCATGAACCTGACACCCACCACGCCGGGAACCGACGACATCAGCCCCGATCATCCCCTCCACTTTTCCCATCTTATCCATCCCGTACTACGCTCCGATCTTGCCGCTTTCAACGAGTTTCAGGACATGCTCAAGATCAGCGCCCGTTCCTCTGCCCCAGCAAGTCGCGCATCCAGCGGCAACTACAGCAGCCTGAATGTGCTGGGACTGGCATCACTGACCAACAGCTCCACCACGTCGCTGCCCTCCAAGTCGCCCACTTCGGCTACCAACTCACCTCGCGAATCTGTAGCCACTGCTGGTATGCCCAACCTCAAGGACGAGAAGTTCTATAAACGTGCTCTGGTCGAGGACATAGAGCCAACACTGCGTCTGGATATCGCCCCCGGTCTCTCATGGATGGCACGCCGCACGGTACTGAACAGCATCACTTCTGGTTCCCTGGTCGTAGAGCCGAACCCTGCTCCTCCATCCAAATTTCGGGTTCCCATCTTTCCATGCTCGCTTTGTGGCGAAGCAAGGAATGGTGATCAGTACGCCCGAAAATTTCGATTCAAGCCCTCCGATACTGAAGACTCTCAGCGCTACCCCTTGTGTGACTGGTGTCTGGGTCGCGTTCGGGCAACGTGCGACTACATTGGTTTCCTACGCATGGTAGCAGCGGGGCACTGGCGCGCAGAGACGGATGAAGAGAAGAAGTCGTCCTGGGAAGAGAGTGTGCGACTTCGCGAACGCATGTTCTGGACTCGCGTTGGTGGCGGTGTGGTTCCTTCCTTCGTTCCTTTGCGAGATGGCCCACGCAGTCCCCCATTCACGAACAGCGATGTGAAGTTTGAGGAGAGGATGAGTGAAGAGAGCATCATGTCGTTTGAGCCTCGAGACATCACAGCAGGTGGTTCTGCTGCGTCGATGGCGAATGAGCCAAGGAAGAGCGATGAAGACCCTTTTCGGAGCAAAAGCGGTGATAAGGTCAAGAGAATTTCCATTGGCAAGACGGTCCTTTTGAAGCACAACGACGCTTTGACCTCAGAGTCCAAGACAATCGCCAATCCGGAAGCCGAAACATCGTCAGCCGAAGCTCACCACGGTAGTCAGAATGAGTCTGTCACTGCAGCCCCGTCAATACCCTCATTGACAGTGGAAGAGGAAAAGGACATTGAACAGCAAGCTGAAGCTCAACTCCAAGACGAAGTGAACAAGTCTCTCGATACCAGGAAAGCAACAGCGGTCTCTGAACAGGAACAGGAAATGACGAAGCTGGAGGATCCACGCCTACAGCGTCAACGCTCCTCTTCGAACCCTGCACCTGCTTTGCCGAGCAGAGAGAAGGATGCCAGTGGCAGTAGACTTAGTTTGAGGATGCCCGGTACGAGTATGCCTGGTGCTTTCGACTGAGCCATACATGATGCAGTAACTGGCTGATTCTTGTTGGGTAACTCGCTATTTGCCGGTCTTGTGCTTGGAGTTTTACACGACCATTACTCTTTTATTCAATCATGTTACACTATCCTAGTTGACGTTTGTATACGGCGAGTAAGAGGCGAATGCTTTGGTTGTTTTTCTTTACTTGCTGAGCATCTTCAGTGGCTTGTTAGAGGGGTAGGTTTACGGACCCGTTACTGTCGGATATACACATAGCAAGAGAGGTATCTTCGCTGCTAGTTCTCGTCTCGGGATGGTGGGAACTTGAGTTTGATGGATACCGGGAGTTGTTCTGGTAGTCTTTTGTTCTGGTTAAGAAGCTTTGGGGGAAGGGTTTGCGGTGGGCAGGAGTATTATTGGTCTGGTTGACTAAACATGTTGGATGTGTGTCTTTACACATAATGTACTATAGCTTTATCTAATACTAGCTCTTGGAAGATAGGACAAGAAAGAGAAACGATGAAGAGTAGGAGAAGAAATATACACATTGACCATGTCCATCGCCTGCAGTTCTACTAATCGCAATCTGTCGTTTACTTCTTTGGTATCGAGAGAATTACAAGGACGCTACTATTCTTTCGGTTGCTCTACTGTTATGCCTACCGGCTCTTGGGTGGACATGTGCATCATCAGAAGCCGGGATATAAGCAGATCTACGCTCTAGGGACATGGACATGGCGACTGATGGCGCATTCTGCTCTGCGGATTGTATCTAGTATTGATTCTGATAGCCCGTGGAGCGCTGTGTAGTCGAACTGTGCAAAAGGTTTGGCCGTAGCGTCAAAGACGAATGCCGTCTCACGGTGTGCCTTTCTTATGGGCTTCCGCGCCATCCCTCTTAACCACCAAGTCCGCCTCCGCCCTCCCCCCTTTCTTACTCCCTACCAGGGGAAGCTCTTCTTCCATGTCATGCTGCACCACCATGCTCTTGCCCTTGATCAACTGCATAACCATATAGTTCATGGCACATCGAATACCCAATTCCTCGCCTCGCCTCACAATCCAGCCGTTGAGATAGTCAATCTCGGTGTGCGCACCCTGACGCGTATCGGCTAGCATACTGCTCACGTTGTCGCTGGTGCGGTGTGCAACGGCCACAACCACGGTCTCAAGGCGGCCTGGGTCGAAGCGCTGGGACACGTTGGGAATGTATTGGAGTTCGGGGAGGGAGCGAATGACGAGGCTTATCTCGGATAGGAGGAGGCGCATTGTGCGGGTCAAGGCGTAGTTGTTCAGAATGGCGCCGTTGCGCGCGTCGAGGAGGGCGGTTAGGGGGTTTATGATGCAATTGACGGCCAACTTGTCGAGTTGGATTTGCAAGAGATCGGGGGGCGAGAAGGAGGCTGCGCTGAGTACTGGAGTGCGGAGGAGGGTGCGGAGTAGATAGCGTTGGTTAGGCGTGAAGGGGAATTTGGCGCTCCTTGGGGGTGGGTACTCTGGATTGAGTTTGTCGGGAGGGTGCGGGTAGACGGGCTTGCCATGTCTTGATGCGGAGAATCTTAAGTCGGGGGTGTAGGGCTCGTTGGCATGGCCGTCTCGTTGGTGGGGTAGGATGCCCAGCGAGAGGGTGCCGAAACCAGCGTGGACAGTAGTGAAGCGACTGTGTGGCGAGGCGTGCATGCCATGAGAGTTGATGCCGAGCATATAGTGTGGCCGGTGGTCGGGGTCCGGGAAGACGGCCGCGTTGACTTGGTCGATGACGCCCATGCCGTTGTGCAGGAAGCAGACGACCGAGTGGTTGTGCAGCCGGTGCTTTACGGCGGAGATGGCCTGCAGGACATGGGGGGCTTTGGAGCAGACGATGAGCGAGCTGATGGGCTCAGCAGACTCGCCAGGCAGCATCTGAGGGCCTTGGGTCGTGTCTAGCGAGGAGGGATTCAGGCCGACCTCGTGGCCATGGTAGCGAAGACGGGGGATGGCTAGCTCGGCATCGTAGCCGTCTCTGGTGTCGACACGGCCGTCGGTGACGAGGGCCAGGCGGCGTTGCGAGTCGTTCCATTCGTTCAACTTTTGCCAGCCCCCGAAGACCAGCGTTACTGGAGGAGGGTTGGGTATGCCGCGCAGGGCGTGGGCGATGAATTTGCCCACGTTGCCGACACCGATGATGTGAATGCGTCGGTCGAGTACAGGCTGTCTGCGATAGAAGCCGGCCGTGTGGAGGAAGGCTCTCGTCTGAGCCGAAGCCGCGGCGCATCGTGACGCTGCGTGTGGTATCCGAGGCCGGAGCCTGGGGAGAAAGGGTGAAACGGAGGAGAACGACAGCTTGAACGACTTGGGATTCCCATGGGCTTCGGGGCCGAGGCGAGTTAGTGAGTGAGGCTGTCTGCTGTGAGCGATCCGACCTCGGGACGCTTGCACGTCGGAGCGCTCGGCCCGCTGCTTTTCTTTGGCGTGCGCATGCGACCGCCGCTTGACCTCCATCACCACCATGGACCCGCAGACCGACCTCCCCGACCTCGTCGAGGACCTCGAAGTCAACATCGATGAGCTCACCGCCGCGCTCGACCCTCTGCTGGCCGCGCCTCTTCACACGACCGCGTCCTCTCTCCCGCTCCTCGACAAGGCAGAGTTCTACTGCATGTCCGCATACGCCATCGAAGCTATTCTCTTCTCCGTGCTCAAGGCGTCGGGCGTCAATGCCACGCAACACCATGTCTTCAAGGAAATTGCCCGTCTCAAGCAGTACAACAGCAAGATCAAGCACATCAAGGACCGCGGCGTCATGGGCAGCGCCGAGGGCAGAGCGCGACTAGACCTTGGCGCCGCCCAACGCTTCATCAAGCACGGCCTGGCTGGCAACGACAGGTACGACTTGGAGCGGCAGGAGCGCATGGCCAAGGAGAAGGCCCGCGCCCACCTCAAGGCTCAAAACATCAACAAGAAATTCGACTCCGACGGCAACGCCCTCGAGTCTACTGACGCCACGTCCAGCAAGAGGGCTGTCGACGAGCTCAATGCTCAGGAGGACTATTCGGACAGCCACGTCCTGCAAGGCTCCGACCAAGCAGAGCCGGCTCCCAAGAAAGCTCGCGTCGACGCAGCTGCCGAATCGCAACAAGAACCCGCGCCAGATACCGGCACACCGCAGCCCAAAAAGCGCCGTCGCCCCGCAAAGAGAGACAACAAGACAACAAAGACCAGGCAGGACTTGGACACAGTCAGCCTTGCAACACCCTCAAGAGCAGAGGAGCGCGTAACGAGGACGAGGAACAAGAGGCTTTCGACGCAAAACTCACAGGAAGACGAGCCTGTAGTGCCGACCCCAGATCGCGCGCCCAAGACGCGGAGTGAGACTTTTAGCGCGCTTCTTGATGGCTCGTTGAACCAAACCAAGAAGAAAGGGATTGGTGGTAAAGGAAACAGGAAGGGGGGCAAGGGAAAAGCCAAGTGATTTCATGGCCATGGGTTTTCACAGAGTCCATTGGGCTGTGCGACACATCTCGAAACCTCTGAATATTTGAGTTCACTCCCGACATATGGCGAGCGAGTGGTCGCAGTATGCATTGGCAAGTTTGTGCAAAAAGTAATGATACCCCCTAATCAAACTTCTTATAATTTCGACACCATTGCACGGAGTATATACACTTGATCTGAGTGCACTGACGAGAATATACCCCATGTGCGAGTACATGCGAAATCACAGATCTATGTCAACAGCATCATGGATGCATATAACAGACAAGTATAACATTGCTCATCAAGAGCGAGCACTGCGGCAGAACCAAATTGACAGGGAGATTACTATTCATTGAGCTACTACGCTACTTGGGGGTATTCATGCAAATCACACCATCAAAACCACCATGTGACTTGCTCTCGCAACACACTACGAGTGAGATGGCAAAAAGACGACGACAAATCTAGTCCATGATGCCAGTCTTGCCGTCGTGGTCAGCGTCCTTCTTGGGGTCTAGAGTGTCTTGTCAGCGTCAATCCAACTTTCAACCGCATGGGGAAGACGTACTCAGCTTGTCCATCATGGATGGCTTGCCGTGAACATCAGTGGTACCATGAGTGCCGGGAGCGCCACCTGAAACGTGTTGGTCATGTTGCAGAGAAGAGTGAGGCTCAGCGTGGGAAACAGGCTCGGTGAGGGCCTTGGGAAGATCGCCACTCTCGTTATTGCGGTGAGAGAGGTTGTCACGGCCTGTTCCCTCGACCTCCCCTGGGACGGTCTTGACGTGCTCACCTGTGGTGTATCCTCCTTGGCCCATGTTGCCTGAGCCGATGCCGCCAGCGTTGCTGCCGTAGGCTCCTGTGTTTGTACTGCCTACACCCCCAACACGCGGGTCGGCCGAGTTGGCCATGTGAGAGCTGTGAGGGCCAGTGGGGTCATTGTGAGAGTGGCCAAGACCGCCAGTGCTACCTACACCCCCAACACGCGGGTCGGCAGAGTTGGCCATGTGGGAGCCGTGGGGGCCGGTAGGGTCGTTGTGGGAGTGTCCAAGACCACCGGTAGTGCTATGGCCGGTGAGACCGGTTCCAGTAGTGTTGTATGCGCCAGCTCCAGTGCTACCAACACCACCGACGCGGGGGTCAGCCTGGTTGGCCATGCGTGAGCTGTGGGGACCAGTTGGGTCGTTGAAATCGGCAGTGCCGTGACCACCAGTCAGTCCACTGCTGTTACCTGAGCTGTAAGCTCCAGTAGTCGAAGAGCCGAGCCCTGTGCCGGTGAGGCCGCTGCCAGTAGTACCATGGGTGCCGTGGGACTCAGTATACTGTCCAGCACCATAACCGCCTGCGCCAGCAGTGTTACCGGCGTTTCCAAGACGGTCGGAGTCGACCCGGGGGTCAGCCTTGTTCATCGTGTGGGAGCCGTGAGGACCGGTAGGGTCATTGTGAGAGGTAGAGCCGTGGGTAGTTGAGGACCCGAGACCAGTGCTCCCATGAGTGGCTGATGACCCAAGACCCGTAGAACCATGGGTAGAAGATGTGTACTCGGGGTTGCGCTCGCCATGGCTACCAGAAGTACCGAGGCCAGTGCTTACACCAGAGCCATGGTGGGTACCGGAGAAGCCCCCAGTGCCAGTGGTAGCATTGGAAGTATTAGGTACAGTAGGATCGGCAGTGTTGGCAGTATGAGAGCTGTGAGGACCGGTGGGATCATCTAGAGAAGTGTGAGTAGCTGACGGTGGTCTTCAGGCCCTCGGCAGTCTGCAGGAAGTGCTTACCATGGGTCTTGTCCTTGTGCATCACCTGGTCGACCTTGGCCTTAACTTTGTCCATCACTCCTGACATGATCGCGGTGTGAAGTTTAAATAAGAGGTGGTATAGATAGCTGATTGGGCTTGAATGAAGTTGATTAGAGTGTTGCGTGGGTGTGGTGGTCGTCGTTGCGTAGATGGTCACCAAAAGCAAGCGCTGGTGGTCCAATATATACACTACAGGCGAGGGCCAAAGTCAGAGAGACCCATGGTCCTACGTCATGCCTTTGCATCAGCACACGTCGTACAAACGGCACCTGGGCAGTCACTGCTCACATCCCTGTTTCCTACTTTGGTCTTGGCACCTTGATCGAGGGAAGTGCTGACCACGCTGAAGCCTACATTGACGCTACACTTTCTAAATTGCTGATTTTATCCCAACGTAGGCTGCACATCCGCGCAGCTTTTTCGAGTATACGAGGCGTTTGGCTCTATCCCCTAGCACAGCCACTGGTGAATACCTGGCTCAACTCGTGTCGGACGTCATGCACGATGTGCCTGTTGTTTTCAAACGTGGCCATTGCAAGCCCCAACCGGCCATGGGTCGGTATTCTTTCCCTAATCCCTCAGCTTATACCTGCCGTGGCGTTCTCTCCTGTCTGCCGCTGCCACAAGATTTGGCTAATTACATCAGCCACTCCAGCGCTGGACCCTCGATGAGGGGCTTCGCGACGGATGCAGCTAGCCAATGTCCGGTTCGGTTGTGGTGGGGGCTAGCACGCGGCTGGCGCTGCGTCATTTTGCGATCCGGTGCATGGAAAGTGGGGAAGAGGAAAGCTTAGCCACGTCTTCAATTCCTGATTTACCCTGTCTTGCATCGGATTTTTGGTCCTTGACGCGTGTTTGTAGCAGATCTTCTGTAAAATCTTGATAACACCGCCACATTTACCTGGCACAATGGCCACGGTGGGGACTTTGTCAAGGGCCTAGAAGCGTGCGAATCCGGCATGGACTCACTCCTGAACTTGTGCCTTGGAAATGCATTCCTGAGCCATCGCCCATAGGTGGACTATTCTAAACTATTGCAGCATCAGCGGGACAGCAAATTGCCCTGACATTGCAATTACGCAGGATTCCCTGCACCTCAAAGCAAATGCGCAAAACCAGCACTGTATGACGTGCCTTGCACTGATCCGCTACCGTCCCAGCTTGCCTTATTGGCATTTTATACAATCAACATGTACCATCTCTCGGGTTTCTTCTCTCCTGCGGTAACAAGTTATCTGCTCAAACGACGTAGTTGGCGCAGGGACAGAGTCCGCGTTGTTAGGATTGGAGCTTGGGCCAAGTACGCGATTATGACGTAGTTTTCCACATTCCACAGCTTCACCCCACCAACACCTGGGCAAGGGAACACCACTTGTCTTCCATCACGACTCAGACGCCTTTCCCTACTTCCTAATCTTCTTAACCTTTCCGATCTATCCGTTGCAACCATGTCAGAGTCCAGAGTGAGAGTACCCGACAAGGTCAAGGAAGTCGCCAAGGAAGACTTCAACCAAGCTAGACAGCTTGCCTCAGAAGCTGTCCGCTCGGCCGCATATCTCTACCCTTTCAAGGTACGCGTCTGAATCCTTGCTACCTACATTGCATCGACGTTTGCCTGGAGAGGCCGGTCTGGGAGTGCTTTTCGGCCCTCTCGACCACACTAGGGGATTGCATTCAAAGCACAACACTGACATGACCCAAGGGCATTGCGTACTTCTTCACACACCGTGCTCTATGGAAGCCTCTCGCTGCGAAACTGGTCCCTACTGTCTCGCTCGGTCTTGGTGTCACCGTGCTCATGTTTGCCGTCACATACATTCCCCAAGTCGCACTTCTCACCCTTTTCAACGGACCACTCGCAGTCTTCACCACGGTTCTGCTCGTACTCAGCGAGTCGTCCACTATCTTCTCGGTTCTCAGCAAGAACTTCCTCATTGACGAAGCGCTTATTGATACCTTTGATTCAACCTTGGTCAGCCGCAACCAGACCACATTAGTTTCCAAAGAGCGCCAGGTAAAGTCGGGAACTGACCCTGTTGCGAAACTGGGCAAGCTCGTCTCGAAGCCTTTCGCAAAATTCGCCCCCAGCGCCATCATCCGATACTTCATGTACCTTCCGCTCAACTTCATCCCGGTCGTGGGCACCGTACTATTCGTCATCCTCCAAGGACGCAAGTTTGGTCCCACCGCACATGCCCGCTACTTCCAACTCAAGCAGATGAAGAAGCAGGAGAAGGAGCGCTTCATTGACGAGCGCAAGGCCGCATATGCTAGGTCGGTCCGTCTACGTGTAGTCATACTCAGACCACTAACCTTCCATAGTTTCGGCATCCCAGCTGTCCTCCTCGAACTCGTCCCGATTGCCGGAATCTTCTTTTCCTTCACAAACACCGTTGGCGCTGCGTTGTGGGCTGCCGATATGGAGCAGGGCGTTCAAAGCGGCGAGGCTAGCACCACGGCGCCGAACCTACGCCAACAAGCTGAACTGGCCAAGAATAGGCGGGAGTTGTGAGAATACACTGCTCTCGGTGTGAGGATGGATTCTTATCAAGTGGTGCTAATGATTTCGTCCAAGTGAAGTCGAGCCTTACGTTCGTTACGGAACTGATGGACGCTACCGATACCCGTGGAAACCTTAGTAGGCGCGAGGCAATCTGCTTGGTTGGCCGTGACATTCGCAGGAACTGTGTTGTTAGGGTGCTGTTGCCATGAACTGTGATAGCATTTGGCTCCACAGTGGCTTTCCTAGTGACAACAAAAACCAAAGACCTTCTCAGGATATTGGTTACATAACAACACTGTGACGCTTTCATGCAGCACCCGTCTGTTCATGTTCCCCCCCAACACGTAAAAACTAATGAATGATCAAATTCTGATAACTATGGCAATCGCGAAAAGCAACTAAAGACTTTTTCACATCACTTTCCGTGGCAGCTTTTTCCTGCGATGAAGATGTGTGAACACACTTTAGGCTCGAACCAAGGACAACTCAAATGTTGCACGAAGTAATATCATCACCAAGAATACATTACAACTACCCTAGAGCAGACGTAATTTTAGTATTACCACAACATCATCATCGTCCACGTGGTCATGAACCCTGCACCGTCCTTCTCTCTTCGACATTCCACCTAAAAAGATGCTCTACTCTTCAGCACTTGGCTTGCCTCTTCCTAGGCCAAAGCAAGTCGCCATGTTGTAGAAGATATCAATGCTGTTGTATGTCCCTTGGAAGAGCTCCTGGCATGGGCCCATGGCATAGACAGGCACATCCGTCAACGAATGCACACCTTGGTCGTTCTCGACAGGCAGCGTACCATTGATCAAGATACCGCCCTCGCCATCCTCGGGGTTTGCGTAGTTGTCGTCGCTATCTTCTTCGATTTCGGCTGCGGGCTCGCGGGGACCGCTCTTGCGGACGGACCAATTCTCCCGACGATCAGGATCTGCCATTAACCCCTGAAACAAACTGAATCTGGGCTCCCAAGTCGACGGGAAGTTAGAATCTGTGTACGTCAGATTGCCGGTGTTGATGTATTGGGATTCGCCAGATTGCTCGTACGTCCCCACAGCATTGCCTGTACGAAGTCAGTTAATGTCTCACAACAGTTCGTACATGGGTATTACTTGCGTTTCTTGCGGTCGACGTTTTGGGCAGCTAGATAGTGGGTGTCGACGGAGCCCATGACATCGAAGCCATGGCCGTGGTCGGCAGTGACAAGGATCAGAGTCTCCTTGAGGCAGTTGGTGGAGTTGAGGTGGTCAATAGTGGCCTTCACCGTGTCGTCGAGTTCGAGAAGTTCACCGAGTGCGCGATCATAGTCGAGAACATGCATCATCTTGTCAATGCTGGCGGCTTCTGACATAAGGAACCATCCTTTGTCGCCTGAGCGAGTTTCGAGGATGTCAATGGCCTTGAGGGTCATCTCTTTGAGACCCGGCTGATCAAGAGCGGGTGTCTCATCTCCAGTAGGGGAAAGCGATTGGTTGAGGTTGTCACGGTAGACATTGCGGTCGAGCCACTTGGCCATATTGGAGGTGGTGAAGATACCGAGAGCCTTTTCCTCATTGCTGGCAGAGAGCAGAGCAGTGCGGTTCTGAATGATCTGATAGTCCTGCGCGGCAAACTCATCATAGTAGTTCTTGTCCTGATACGTGACACCTCCAAGTTCAGACGGGTAGAACTGCTCGGCGCCACCACCGAAAATGACATCGAGAGGAACCTTTGTCCAGGTGTAATTCTGTAGACCATTGAGGTAGGTATCGACGATAGCTCCATACTGGCTACGGAGACGGGTGTGTGATACCAAGGCAGCGGGAGTAGCATCCGCAATGTATGCTGTCGATACTATTCCTACGTGACCTCCGGTAAGACGATGAAAGATCTCAGCAATGCTCTCAACCTTCGGGTCATCAAAAGGATCCTTGCTACTGTCCTATACTGTTTGTTAGTAAAATGATGATGTATACAAGTGCGCAACGAGATGGAAGACACGTACCGCATAAACGTTCAAAGAGTTGACTGTTGACTTGTGACCAGTGTTGAGCGCAGCAGCAGAGTTAGCGGAGTCGGTGATGAAGCTATCGATCGAGTGGGTCATCTGGTGGCCAACGACAGGGAATTTGTCCATGGCCATGAGAGATTGGTATTTGCCGTTGACCTGCTTATGGCCTATCAAACGAGCAGCTGTGATCATGTTTGTGGTCATCCCGTCACCGATGAAGAGAACGATGTTCTTGGCCTTGCGCTCCTCAGCCAGGTCGCGAACGAGCCAAGTAGCCTCCGTCTTGCTTCCATTGTTATAGTTGAGGGTAGCAGTGTACTCGCCAGGTTCGTAAAGAGCGATGCGGCGGTACGCTCGAGCGGCAACGTTGACTAGGGTTGGCTTTTGCGCGTCGCGTGCGAAGAGGTCTTCGTACCATGTGAAGTTCCACTTCTCCAATTTGGGTTCTTCGAGGTTGAAAAACTCTGTTACTAGCTTCGCTTCCTCGCCCTTCTTTCCAAGAGTGAAGGTAAACTGCTCATCCAGAGGTAGACCGATGAACTCGGATCCGTTCCTTGGCTGGTGAACTTCTAGACGGATGTCGAAGTACTGGCCCGCAAGAAAGTCGGCCCTGAGTTGTGTATCAGCAATTGAGCTCTCTGAGCTCGTTCAATCTGCATGCTTACTGGTCAGGAGGGAACACGCAACCGAGCGTTGGGCAAGCTCCCAGACGGCGGAATGTCTGCGCGGAGACAGACCCGACCAAAAGGGCTGCAGCCACGACAGCTGAGCATGTACACTTCATAACGAACGCGATTGAGAGATCAGTAGGTGGGCAAGACTCTCAAAAGTGCGATGAACCGACATTCTGGGAAGCTGTTGCTCCAACCTTTATAAGCTCACAGAGCTTCCCGGACCTGCATACATGCATCAAGACGAATCAGACTATGTCCCGCGTATCAATCTACTAGCGTCCACATTTCATACCCGAGGCATGCCTTCCTCTGCAGTACAAGGTGCATTAAGTGCCTTTTCCCGTCCCTCGTGCGATAACACAGCGCTCTTACTGCTCGAGAGGAAGACTCCGGCTACCTGGGCCCAGTCCCCATTCCGCTGGCCTGGTCCGCGCCGCGAGCCACTGTCATCATCGAGAATCTTAACGAGCTGCCTCATTGGGAAAGACATGCACGTTTCTGCCAGTTAATGGAAGGCTGGAGGATGAGGACTTGGCGTGGCTTGGTACATCTTGGCGTCACGTTCCGCGCAGCTATGATCTGATTCGCTATCCAATGGTTCTCTCGTGGAAGCCAAAATTGGTATCCCCGTAGATTTTCCCTTGGCGATGGGGTATTGCGGGCGGCTGGGATTTTGATGCCTACGGTGTGCTCCGGACGGGGCAATTCCATTCGCCATCGTAGTGAGGGCCAGCGACACAACACAACAAAGCTTTGCTAGCCTAGCTCGTCGACGGATATAGTGCCGACGAGCTCAAGGAAGAGAGCTTGATCGCAGTCCGAAAGACGCATCACGTGTCAGCAACTAGGCACCGTGCCCGGCTGGCATAATTCGGCTGCGGTCAATCTGTCAGACCAACAAAACTCCAACATAGAAATTATGCAACTCCTTGTCTGCGCGTTAGAGCAGAATTATGTCAGTCGCATTAACACCTCGCACTAGCAACGTAGTTTGTCGCGTGCTCACATCCATCGTCGTCGCCTGGAACCCTGAATCGAATGCAGCCCTATGCAAAGCACCAAAATCCCAGGAAGCGGCGACAGATCGCGAAACGCAGCGGGAACCAAGGGTCTCTCCAGATCTTGTATCTGAAACGCCGATAGGCATGCCTTCGATTGGTGTTCGACGCCAGGTGTCCATCAGGGTAACGTCTTGATCGGCTCTAGTTGGTGTGGTTGGGTGGTCCGCCGACGTCACCACTCTGAACCTTTAGTCTAAGGTTTATCGATGATCAGGTACAAAGGTACGCCTAAGCGCAGAGCGCATGTTCAATGCCTTCCTTCGAACGCGTCTTCTTATTGCAAACTCTACCTAGGCCGGCAGCTGCTCAATTTAGATGTGTTAGTGTCAAAGTACGACAACCGATCCGCGCGTTTCAACACGCGACTCTTTTCCAAAGTAGAGCACCGCCAAAAAAGCCCGCACAGCCGAACAAATCCCAGACACATACGAACATGTCCAAAAGAACATCATACGAACGCTCCGAACTCGGGCATACGACTCTCAAACGCGCGAAACGAGTAGATGATAATCTTCCCTACGATCAAGTTCAAGAAGCCCTCGGTGCACAAGAGGAAATCAAGGTTGTGACAAAGGTAGCGCACTGGTTTCGTCCAAAAGATCTCCGCATTCAAGATAACACCGCGCTGCATCATGCTTCCGAGCTTGCCCAAAGTGCGAGGAAGCCTCTGGTATGTTTTTACGTCAATTGCGCTGCAGACGAGTCGTGGCATGGGACTAGCCCTGCAAGGGTCGACTTCATGTGCGAGGGATTGCGCATCATGCAGAAAGAGCTCAAGGAATTGAACATACCGCTAGTCTTCCTAGAGTGCGAGGATAGGAAGAAGATCGTACAGACAGCAGTGGATTGGATGAAAAAGTGGGAGATTTCACACGTGTTTGGCAACTTGGAGTACGAGATTGATGAGATGCGGAGGGATTTGAAACTCTGCCAAACAGCTGGGGATGGTATTCAAGTCTCATTGTACCATGACCAGACCGTTGTCGAGCCTGGTACAATGCTTACAGGTGCTGGGACACCCATGAAAGTCTTTACACCCTTCTTCAAAGCGTGGCTCGAGAGGCTGAAAGACGAGCCGGAATTGCTTGACACTAACCCTTCACCTACCGCAAATGCTCCCTCTGCGAAGAAGGAGCTAAAAAGTCTCTTCGATACAGCCGTGCCCCAGCCTGCAAAAGACAAGCAATTCGAGTCGGAAGAAGACAAGAAGAGGATACGGAAGCTGTGGCCTGTCGGTCACGATGCAGCAGCACAACGAATGGATGCGTTCCTAAAGCAAATTGACCACTACGCCGCTACACGCTCAAATCCTGCCGCAAATAGCACGTCACGCATGTCTGCCTACTTTAGTGCGGGCATGTTCTCCGTACGCGAAGCACTGCAGAAAGTTGTAGATTACAATCGCGGCAGTACCGATTTTACCGAAGCCAAGGCATCCAATGGCGTCTACGGCTGGGTCCGCGAGATTGTTTTCAGAGAACTCTACAGACAGACAACCATGACTACGCCACACACCTCCATGAACCTCCCACAGAATCTCAAATTCGACGCAGTAGAGTGGGAAGACGATCAAGCAGGCTGGGAGAAATGGTATGAAGGCAAAACAGGCGAACCTCTTGTAGATGCCGGCATGCTGTTGGTTAGGATCCTATCACGTGATTCACTCACTAGCGTCGCCCTAGTAGTATATATACAGGGCTTCCTCCCTCTTACATAGAACAATCATCACATCTTTCTCTTCTTGTTCTACACATGCGGCAGCTCAAAGCCGAGGCATACATGCACAATCGCTTACGTATGAACGTGTCTTCCTATCTCTACTGCAACCTCCTGCTCGACTACCGCCGCGGCGAACGCTACTTTGCCGAAACTCTGATTGACTGGGACCTTTCCAACAATACCCAAGGCTGGGAGCCTTCTTACACCGTCTTCAACCCCGTCTCTCAGGCCGAGAAGAACGATCCCGATGGTGATTATATCCGTAAATGGATCCCAGAGCTCAAAGATGTCAAGGGAAAGGCGGTATTTGCTCCTTACGCGAGGTTGTCAAAGAGCGAGTTCGAAAAGCTGGGTTATCCAAAACCGCATGTGGACTGGAAAGAGACGAAAGCTAGGGCGTTGGATAGGTTCAAACGAGGGTTGAGGAACGCGGATATCTAGGTGAGCGTGCGACTGTATATAGGGCGAGGTTCATACTACACCAATGTTGAAACCCATACGATGTGGATGCATGTAGCACTAGGCTCATGGCTACTACCTTGATGTAACCCTCTCCGGCAAGGTCCGTGAATTTGGCAATATGAATGATTGCTTTACAAGCAACAAAGGTGGCACAGCTCGCGCCACTATCTTGATCTGGCAAAGTTTTCATGATCGAAAAAGAAATCGTCCCAAGTCTAGTGGGCCTTCCCCTGCCAGCACACACGGGAATAAAACGACCAAATTATTATGCTACTCCGGCTGACCACCAATAGAGCGGAGGTGAATCATCGCATATTATACGCCCATCCAGAGCTACTCTTGTCTCCAGTCGGCATAAACCAGTGCCGAGAGTAAATATAGTGTTGCGACAACGCGTAATGCTACTGATTAGTCTAAAGTACGCGCAACAATCTGCAGCCAACCCGAGTCACGATATCGAATGCGCGCAACCCAGTGCTCATGCGCGATTTTCCCTAATATCCCCACAAGCAGCACCTGACTTGTCTCTACATTTTTTTAATCTGCTTCCTCACCCTCCCAATTTCGATCTCTTGGGCCCGTAGATCTCTCACAACGGTGGCTAATTGGGGGATTGGGCCTTCGACTGCACCTACAAATGTCGATTGCGCAGTACGTAGTGCGGGCGGAACAAGGATACCAAACCATCTGAGAGGATCTGTAGGCTTTCCGACAGATCCGGTTTCTTCTTGGTTGTCCCTTGATCCTTGGGCGGGTTCGTCATCCAAATCGGAAGTAGGGCCTGTTTCTCCTTCTCTAGCTTCTGAACCTGTGGAAGGGAGGCCCGGTCCTTGGACTTCGTTCGCTTGTTCTGTTGATCTCATGTGGTTGTCAAGGCTCGCGTCCTGGCGAGTGGTAGCGGAAGATTTGATGGAAAAATGGGGTCGATCGTTCTTCTTGGTACATCCGTGTTCGGAGACATGGCTGTGGTCTGTCAACAGAGCACATAAGGTAGATAGACATTCCAGAGGATCGTTGTAGCACCCCTGGTAGCTATGAAATCTCGAAGAAAACTGTATAACTCACACCTTGCGTACACTCTGCATACGTTCGTCATAGCAGTCCTGTCCGTACCGGATCGCTGAGGACGAATTGTAAAAGTTTGCTTGAGCAAGCGACATGTAACCCTTGTTGGCATCAACACCACGTGCCATTAACCAGACGTAAACATTGCTTACCGAGGATAGCTCTGCGGAAAGCTGCTGCATAATGTCGTGATATTCATGCAGTGTATGCAAATAGTGTTCAAGTCGAGTATCCAAAACATCAAGAAGCGCATCTTTATCCCGCCTCGCAGCCATCTCTGCTCGATCCATTGGTGGGTCCTGTGCATCCGCCATGATGTTGCAGTCTTGCATGGATGGGAGTGAAAAAAGAGTGATGTAAGAGGAGCAGTGCGATGGGAGGTCGAGATCAGCCCAGAGCCAGGCTTAGGTTGGCGGGTGCTAAGACGCGGGAACCATACCGCATCGGCGTCTAGCAGCCGGGTAGCTCGCAGCTCGCATATCCGACACGACTGAGCCATTCCCAACTTTCCATCCACCCAACCACCCGCCATGTCGAAACCAAATCCATTCCTCAATCTTTTCCGGCGATACTACTCACAGCCCGCATCGGCATTCTTCCGCACCGCCCACGCCCGTCCCCCACCCACGCGACCCCAATGTCCGCACACACGCATCCTCTTCCTCCGCTCACAAAGTCGCCGAGTGGGCGGCGGCCCCGGCCTGGACCCAAGTTTCGTCTCGATTCTCGACCGGCCGGCGAAGATGGCGCGAGTAGGAAAACAACATGGGCCCGGCCTAATCATCCTCGCGATAATCCCCGTCACAGCCTTCATACTAGGATGCTGGCAAGTGCAGCGTCTGGGCTGGAAAACCGAATTAGTCGCCCGCTTTGAAGATAGATTGACCTTCCCGCCTCTCGAACTCCCGCTACGAATCGACCCGGCTGCAATTCAGGATTTTGACTATCGCAGGGTCTATGCGAGGGGCGTGTTGAGACATGATCAGGAAATGTTGATTGGGCCGCGGATTTTGGATGGCGAAGAGGGGTACACGGTTGTTACGCCGCTCGAACGGCGGGATGCGCGCGGCAATGTGCATAAGATATTGGCGTGTAGGGGGTGGATCAAGAAGGACGCTGCGCCGCAGTGGTTTCGCAAGAAGAATGGGGCGTTGCCTGAGGGTGAGGTTACGATTGAGGGCTTGTTGAGGATACCGCCCAAGGGCAACATGTTTACGCCGAAAAACGAGCCGGAAAAGGGAAAGTGGTTCTTTCCCAGTGTCGAGGAGATGGCCGAGTATAGCGGGAGTCAGGCTGTGTGGGTGGAGGAGACGATGAGTAAGTAATCTGTCTTTCTTGGATGATGTGATTGGGGTATCTAACTATGACACAGCGCCTGATTTGCTCACAAATTATGAACGTGAACCCAAGGGCGTACCGATTGGTAGGGCGCCCACCGTGAACCTACGAAACAACCACACGCAGTACATCTTCACATGGTACGGTTCGCCGCCTCGCTCTTTTCCTGCAAGCAATCATCTAACTCCAAGTAGGTACGCGCTCAGTTTCGCGACCTCAGTCATGTTTTGGATGGTCGTCAAGAAGCCCATGTCGGGCACCCAACGGAGAGTACGCCACAGCGTTGATTGGTCGTGAGACATTACCGTGCCTTTTCAGTCGTCATCTTCGTCTTCCTCACGGACAGCATTCAATCGTTTCCGTTTATATCTCTTCAACTTGGCCGGACGCTCCATACGCAGCTGCTGAAGTAACTCCCTAGGAAGCATCCTTTGCGCCAGAGAAAACGAGGTACAGGTACCGGTGGTCTTGCGAGTCCTGCTTGAAAGTCAGTATACCGAACGTATATGTCTGCTATAAGTCTGCACGCCATGTACGCCAAACAGAGTCGAGTAGAGCAGCATACCTCTTCATAAGCGCGATGACATCGCTTTCTTCAATCGTCGTTCGTCCACCGTGCTGTGCATATGCTGCGAGATCTATGCTAATCTGCTCGAAGAAGTCGTTGGTCGTGCGTACGAGTGCGTCGAGTGTTTCCGTATTGAGTTGGGTCTTGCCTCCCTGCGACTTCAAGAAGCTCAAAGTGAGCTTCTTGACAGGCGCGGCTGGAAACGAGGGGAAGCCGATACCGTGTTCGGATACCATGTATTCTTTCGGTTTGCGAACACTCTTCATCTGGGCTACATGTGTTTGCTTGGGCGACTTGGCCTGCAGGCTTCGATCAATTGCAGATTCTTCTTCTCGATAGGCGACTAGTTCGGCGTCGTTGTCTGCAGGGGGATCTGATGCCCAACCTAACATGCCGGCGGTTACTGTTTGGTCTTTGCCGTCGAAAGCAGCAGCTATTCCGTCCTTGTCGTCGCTATTGAGTGAGTCGTAATCATCGGACTGGTGCAGAAGCTCGTCATCCGGCTCTTGTTCGTCTTCTTCCCGCTCGTCTTGAAATGCTTGTACGTCTTCTTGGGCTGGCACACGCATGCGCTCCGGTATCATAAAGCGAAAGGTAGGCTCTTCTAAATCGTCCTCTGCCTCTCCAAACACGCCCAAATCCTCCTCACTCGGCCTTGCGTCTCTTCGCCCGGTCAGTGCTTGTACTGTGGTTTCGTCTCCATCTAGAGCTTCGTCGATTGCAGGATCAAAGAGGCCATCTGCGCGCGTGTTGATGAAGGTGCCATCGACCTCGTACTCCTCCTGGACCGCCCCGAGCTCGCTTAGGTCGCCGAATCGCTCACTCTGCCTTCCCGTGAACATGAAGCGTGGATCCTCACTGATGGCTCGCCGTCCAAACTCGAGCGATTGTACGGTCCCGCCATCGACGTCGTCTGGTAGGTCTGGTAGGAGAGACTGCCGTGGTGGGGCACTGTGGAAACTATCGTCGTCGTCGTACATGTTCTCCAGGGGCATTGAAAGACGGGGCGGAGGCATGGCAGGGCCGTCTTCGACGTCTGGAAGGTCGAGGGTGGAATGGCGCGTTCGCCGAGGTAGGGCTTGTGGGGAGGGCTGGGCCGGGCGCGGTTCACGAGCGAGGGCTGCATGGACAGTTAGCTAGGTGAGAGATGGCGGCTGCAAGAGCCGTACCTCTGCTAAGATGGCGCAGTATGTCCCGCGGTGTCTCCCTCTGTACGCGGCCGCTTCGTCTCCGGGTGTTTCCTGGCGTCCTTGCCGCATTGGCTCGCTCTCTCAGGGCTCGTATCGCGTGGGGAGTAGTGGGTGCAATCCTGCGCGAAGGAAGAGGGCGAGCTGCGGGTCCGCCCCGCGGTGTCGCGCCCGATGCTGGTGTGCGAAGAGCTGGCGTCCGCCTGCTTGCTGGAGTAGGGCCCACACTAGTGGCCTGGTGGAAGGGTGTCGTGGGCTCCATGGACGCGTCGTTGTCGGGTGTCGGCTGCAAGTCGCGCCGCGGGGGAAGGCGCTGCGTTTTGCGCGCAGACTCGGCCATGGCAAGAGAGGCATGCGAGAGGCGAGGTGGGTGCCCAGGCGGGTGTTGATGGGCGTCAGGGAAACGCGTCGCTTACCAAGGTAGCGCGACTTCCCCGGCGTGCATCTGCGCTAGCCGCTTATCGATAGCAGCTGAAGCTCGATGCGCTGCAACTTTTTCCGTCGCGAACTCAGGTGTCGCGCCGTCACACAAAACACTAGTCTCACCATGTCCGACTCGGAATCAGAGGGAGGCGTGCCCCTGATGGAAGCCCAGTTCGATCTTGACGCGTCGTCGAAGAAAAGGAAACGGCAAGCCGAGCCCGAAGCCAGCAAGGACGGCAAAAAAGCAGCCAAGAAGGCCAAACGTAAAGAGAAGAAGAAGCAGAAAGCAAAGGCGATTTCTGAAGACGATCTGGACCAAGGGCTGGGAGTCAATCACGCTTTCGAGCGCATGGATGGTCAGCTTGTTGCCGACTATGTCAACGCACGAACACGGCTTTACGGGAAGGATTTGAGCAGTGTCGAGCTCGAGGACTTGTGGATTTCTGGTCAGTGTTTGAGCGCCCGAGACATGTCGTGAAATGCTGACGTCAAGCAGCGCGGACGGTGCAGGACAGCAGCAGCTGGACGGAGCCGCGAACTACAGACAAGCTGCCTGCCTTCCTCAAGAAGCAGGCAGGGACGCTGGAGGCGACGCCATGCAAGCCGCCCGGCGCTCCCCACACGCTTGTAGTGACGGGCTCTGGGATGCGAGCGGCAGACGTCTGCCGATGTCTCAAGTCTGGGCTACCTACCCAGGGAGTCGAGAAGCCCAGCGTGGCCAAGCTGTTTGCAAAGCACCTGAAGCTCGCAGACCAGGTCGCGCATTTGAGCAAGAGCAGAATCGACTACGGGGTTGGGACACCGGATCGGTTGATGGCGCTCTTGCAAGAGGGAGCCTTGTCGACGGCCAACTTGAAACGAGTCGTGGTGGACGTGTCGTACATTGACGGGAAGAAGCGCGGCATTCTCGACATGAGAGAGTTGCACGAGGCCGTGGTCAGGCTGGTGGTGTGCAAGCAGCTGGTGGGCGAGGACAGGCAAGGCGGCGAGGGACTGTTTGTGTGGTATTGAAGCATGTAGGCGTAGCACGAGCCCGTAGCTAGCTAGCACGGCGGATGGCAGGCGTGAGCAGCGTGTTGCACAAGGGTTTCAAGAGGGTACGCGCTCGTCGAGCTTGGTCGCTCCAGCTCCAGCTCGCTTCGTGACCCGCCGCCTGCCAAGCGATAAAACGCCCCCCTACGCTGCAGATAGCTCCCGCGCCTTCACAGAAGCTACCTGCTACCCGCATCGTGCTGCGCAGTCTCGCCGGTGCGTCCTCTACCTCCCACGCGCCGCCTCGCTGCATCTGCATCGTGCCCTGCCCTGTCCTGCCCTGCCTGCCTGCCTGCCTGCCGCCCTGCCTGCCCTGCCCTGCCCTGCGCCCGACTCGATCCGCTCCACCCTCGCCGCCCCGTTGCTCCGCCGAACCGGGTCCGCCAAAGCCACGCTCCCCGGGCGACACCTCGCGCACCATGGCTGCTCCCGCGACGCAATCGCTCAAGTGCGTCGTGACCGGCGACGGCGCTGTAGGCAAGGTGAGCCTCGCCGCCCCCGCGACAGCCGCGCAGCCTGCTAACCGCGCAGACATGTCTCCTCATCTCGTACACGACCAACGCCTTCCCGGGCGAGTACATCCCCACCGTGTACGCCCGCCCCTCGCTGCACCACGCGTGAGCTAACTCGCCCAGCTTCGACAACTACTCGGCAAATGTCATGGTCGACGGCAAGCCCATAAGCCTGGGGCTGTGGGACACGGCCGGCCAGGAGGACTACGACCGACTGCGCCCGCTCTCGTACCCCCAGACGGACGTGTTCCTCATCTGCTTCTCCATCGTCAGCCCCCCGTCGTTTGACAACGTCAAGGCAAAGGTACCAAGCCGCCCGCCACGCCGCGTGCGCACCCGCTAACCCCCTGCCAGTGGTACCCTGAGATAGATCACCACGCGCCCGGCGTTCCCATTATCCTCGTCGGCACCAAGCTCGATCTGAGGGACGATGAGGCGACCAAGGAGTCGTTGAGGCAGAAGAAGATGGCGCCCATCCAGTACGAGCAGGCCGTCATGGTCGCAAAGGAGATCAAGGCGCAGAAGTACCTCGAGTGCTCCGCCCTCACACAGCGCAACCTGAAGAGTGTCTTTGACGAAGCTATTCGGTACGTCCCCATGTGCTCCCTGCATGACTGTCCTAACCTGCCCCAGCGCCGTCCTCAGCCCCCGTCCCCAGCAGTCGGCGACCAAGAACAAGAAGAAGTGCACCATCCTATAAGCCGATACCAGGGCCCAGGGGCCACGGCTTTGGCCTGACTGGGAAAAGACCAACAACTTGGATATGCCACTCACTCCCGACACTGTACACGGTCGGCATCATTGGGAAGCCCAAGCGGAACGGCTGGACCAAGCAGAAGGGGCACATGCTGTGCAGCACCTTCTGGCTTGATGTTTGGATATAGAGCGAGTCTAGCATTGGCTTATTGCAGCATTACCCTTCTTCGGCGTGGAGGATTCATGGGCTTGGCATTACCGATAGAACTGTTTATTGCATCTTTTCCCTTTGCACATCTCCAACGCCGTGTGAATAAGCCACTGAATGAAGCGGGCGCTGACGGCCGCCGGCCATGCTCGTGCGTCGTCTGCCCTCGGTACCACGCGCCGAGCAGGTTCCCAGGCTAATCCCCGCGGTAGTGCAGACATGGAGCCACCACCACCACCCACCAACATGTTCCACCAAGGCAGCCTACAGAGCGGAATCGCGCTTGCCATTCAGGAGCAGAAACTCGTTGCCTGCTTCGTTCGAGGTACGTGACGGTGCACTATCGGAATCTGGGAAGCATCGTGACTGACTAGCTGCGTAGACGACGGCGCCACGAGCCACGAGTGGGAAGGCGAGTGGCTGAAGAGCGGATGGGTACGTTGGGACTCGGCCAGGTTTTCACAACACGCGCTGATGATGCATGTCTAGCTGTCGACTCTGCTCCACCAAAAAGCGGTCGTCCTGCGACTCGAAGCGGGCTCGACCGAAGCCGGTTTTCTGGCTGCCTTCTCCGATGTCTCGAGCGTGCCCACTTTCGTCGTCATCCAGAACGGCCAACTCCAAGTTCAACTCAAGAACGATGCCACGAGAGATGACTTTATCAACTCAATCCGACGCGTCCTGGGAGCGAATCCCATCCCAGCCTCCAACGCAGCACCAACCTCTCCCCCACAAGCAAGCACACCAGAACCTACGAATAGTATAGCGAATGCTGCAGCCGAAGACGACCTGTATGGCCTCCCCGAAACCTCACTACCCACCCTCACGTCCAACACACCAGGCAAGCAAAAAGCCACAGGCTCCCAGCACCCCACTCTCCCATCCACATCCGCCACCAAAGCCCAACAAGAAGCCCGCGACGCCCTGCGAAAGAAGAAACGAGAAGATGCCGAAGAGTTAGCCCGTATAAAAGCACGAATAGAAGCCGACAAAGCAGCGCGCAAAGTAGATGCCGAATTGCGCAAAGCAGAACGCGAAAAGGAGAGGAACAAGGGCGCACTACGAGCCCCCGACACATCACAGCCAGTGCCAACGTCCTCGCGAGGCACCAACTCCAAAACCGTCGCTCTCAATGTTCGTTTGTTCGATGGCCGCACCATTCGCTCTACATTCCCTCGCTCCGCCACCCTGCAGACCGACGTGCGGTCCTGGGTTGACACTGAGTTTGGGAAATTGACCCAGGATGACGAGCACATCAACAACAAACAACTGCCTCCTTACTTTTTCCGACATATACTCGCTCCATCGCCCAGTCGTGAGCTCTCTGCCGGCGACGAGGCCGTCGAGTTGGGCGATATTGATCTAGCGCCCAGTGCGACGTTGGTACTGGTGCCAGTAAAGGGTTACTCGGATGCGTATTCCGGGGGCACTGGAGGAGGTATAGCAGGAGCCGCGACGGGCATCGTTGGCGGGGCCTTTGGGCTTCTCACTTCTACTGTTGGCTACGTGGGGAGTACCATCAGTTCCGTTATAGGCTACGGGGCGCAACACGAGCAAGGTGGTGATGGTAGTAGCAGTAACAACCATGGCGGTGGTGGTCGTACCATGGGCAGCAGACCTACCCGGGATCCCAGTCACGATCCTGTGCTGGATCAGGCAACTTCGGGTGGGATGAGGGTAAGAACGCTGGCGGACCAGCGGGCAAGAGATGTACCTCAACAGTTCTATAACGGGAATCAGTTGAGTACTGAACCTAGGCCTGAGGACAACGATAAGCGAGATTGAGGCTGTGGTCTTATTCTCAAAGACATGATGCAAATAAGGTAGATGACCCTAACTCCATCGCCGAGCAGCCAAAAGACGTCTTCCTCGTGCTGGCGTAACAAGAGGAGGAGTTCGTGGTGCGTAGGATGGCTGAAAAACAAACGCTTTTGTGTCCTTTCCATCCGGGACTTGCCATCATCCCCTCATCTTCGCTACACGATTAGAGCTGCCATTCGCCATTCAAACAAAAGCCTTTTCTTCATCCACAGACTCCATGAGCCCCGCCGCCTTCAACAGTTCACTATCCACCATGGTCCCTGCAAATGGTACCTGGGGACCCTCAACCTGCGGCTTCCAATCCTCGCGCTTCTCGACCACTTCACCCGCGGCCAGTCCGCCGTGACTCAGCGCCTTGATCTCTAAAGCCTCAATCTTCGCCTCCATGCTCTTCACCTTAACTTCCAACTTCACGCGACCCTTGTCTAGCTCTGCAGCATCAGTAGGGCAGGCAGACAAGGCAACTTGTAACTCAGCGAGCCGCTCGCGAGCTTCATCTAGCTCAGCGTGCTCAGACGTCGTCTGCGGCAAGAGATTTTGCAAGTAGAGCCCAGCGTCATTCTCGTGGTCTGAAGATAGTGCAAGAGGATTTTCGGGGCTGGGCTTGGGGGCTTCGGTAAAGATTTGGAGGCCAGGTGGGTTGCGATAGTGGACCGGGTCTTGCGCGACGTCTTGGAAGAAAGAGAGAATGGCATGCTGGGTGGGAGGGTAGGTAAAGATGCATTCACCAACCGAATTGTCGCCGCCCGCGAAGGTAGGGCAGATGACAGCTTGACCCGAGGACCATTCTGTGCTTTCTTCTCCACTAGTAGAGGTTGATGTTGCGGTTGGAGTGGAAGCCCCGGCCGAAGAGGTGACGCTGAGAGCGAGGCTGTGGAAAGCCTTCGTTAGAGCCGAGACTGGGCCTGTAGGAATCGAAGCGTGCCAAGACATGTGCTTGATTGATTGCATGGTTGATGGTGTGTCTGCAGAACAAGGCCCGTTGACTTGTCGATTGTAGTCAGTCGGTAAGTCGACACAGTGCTGGGGGTTGCATGTCAGATCGCTGAATCGCCACTGACGTGTGCGCTGATGCATGAAAGCGCGAATCTGTTCATCTTTGATTTGGGAGTCGTCGATCAAGGAGTGAATGAACGCCATGGCCGTGATACGGGTACCATACTTGCCGACTATAACAATACGTTAGTGTAAACTCCTCAGGTGAAAGCAGGGCCAGGAGACGTACAGTCGTGCGTGAGCAGGTTCAAGATACTCTCCGTTCCGTCTTCAATAGCGATGACGTAGACTTCTGCGTCAGCTGCAACACGATCGGGGTTGCAGATGACTTCGTCAAAGACAGTCTTGACATGTTTCTTGGCATTTTCATGACCTGGAACACGGTTCTCGTTGTCACGGATGCGGACCATGTCGTGGGCGATTGACTTGCGTGGCATGGCGGACCAACTGCGTAGAGTCATGGCCTGGTCGTACTTGTGCGAGTACAGCAGCTGGCCCGCGTTCAAGACAATCAAAGCAGGAGTGGTAGTCTTGTCTTGGAGAACATGACCATCTTTGAAAATCTTCGCGTCCCTTTCAGCGGTGTTGTCAGTGTCGGAGCACTTGACCATCTCCTTGGCAAAGTTGACGACTGAGCCACCGTTGATGCCGAGTTCCCGCTGCAACTGTCTATACGCCAGGATGCCTAGATCTTGCATGGTGTCGTTTACCAGTACAATCAGTCGCTTTCGCGTCTTGAGGAGGTCAGGCGGTGGAGCAAGGATAGGTACATGTGGACCATTGGGCTTGGTCATGGCGAAGTCGGGAAGGTGGATGCACTCGAGGCCGAGGTAGGACAGGCGCTTCTCTGCTTCCTTGCGCTGGCAGGCTGTGACGTGTTAGCTGCGAGTGTTTCAATGGAGATTGGAATGTACTTTGCATGGCCTCGCGGCGCACCTCGTTGACGCGCTCATTGTTGGTCGCGTGGTAGACATAGGGCTTCTCGGGGGCGTCGATCATACGGATATCACCTGAGAGGTTGATGAAGAAGCCAAGTTGGTTGAGGTCGGCTGGAAATGATGGATCCGGCTCCAGAGTGTCTTCTATGCGGCGGAACATGCTGACGCAGATGCTTGAGGGCGTCTATGGACCGTAGACAGTGGCGAAGTGAGTTGCTAGAAAACGGCAGCCAGAGCTATTGCGGGAGTAGGGATTGTAGGTGTAATGGCTACGGAAGTCGGCTTTTATCACTGGCGCAGTGGGTAGCCGCTGCCGTCGTTTGTAGCGCGTGGTGAGAGCAAACCGATTAGGAAAGGGTGTCTCGCACGGTGAGAGAGCGAGGGGAGGGCAAAGTAGACAGTGAGATGGGTCAACCACGAAGATTTCGCACGCAATGTCTCACAGTGTGCGCCCGAAGAGCGGCCATGTGCAAGGCTACATGTGTAGCCAAAAGTAGGTGGGATTGTACATGGAACCAGTCGGGTTCTCGTAGAAGCACAGCTACCAACTTGCCTTCTTCACGCCCGGCAGGTTCCCCGCGAGAGCGTTTACGCGAAATTGATACTGTAGCATCGTCAGCCCTGCGTCGCGCGAAGAGAAGGCCATGGCATACTCGGCCCATTCTGAAGTCGCTGAAGACACCACGGCCCTTGCCGCCCATTATACACCTGTTCTTGATCTGGGTGTAGCGTGTGTAGCAGTGCATCTGCGAGAGCTGGAGCTGAGCCTGCGCGCGGACTCGTTGCGGAAGCGTGGTATTGCGGATCAGGTATCGCAGAGCTTGTCTGTGTCGTCGTCAGTCGTTGCGCCATGGGAGCGTTAGGTGCAGAGGCGCATGCCGTTCTGGCTCATTCTCCGAGTACACCTTCCGCTTGGTGTGGTCGCGGATATTGCGAATCTTTGCGAAACATCCAATGTCCAGCTTGGCCGCGCGGAATTGAGACATGGTGGCGGTGGGCGGAATGGGTTGGATGTCTGCGCGCACTCGACCATGAGCCACAACATTGTTCAATCCCGGTGTTCTGCCGCCCGATGCCCGCTCCCCACCAATCAGCGCAATCCAGCCTCTGACGCTTTCCCTTGCACTATATACTCCAACGCCGCCGAACCGTTCGAGCTCACAGCACTGTTCCTGAACAGTACATGTTGGCAATCTAGTCTGCAGCGCTACCCAACGTCCAGCTGGCATGTTTACCGCACATGATGTGAAGGACATCTTCGCCCTCTTCCCTCCGCAAGACACTTCCGATTTTGTTCCGCGGCTTGCGCTATCCTCCAGCGGCCATGCTTTCGTTACGCTCCAGTTTGTCCAGGCTCGTTTCAGAAGCCGCGTGACCAAAGGTGAGCGTTCGTAGTCTCTCTTGGCTACATTTACTGAAGCATGCACCAGAGACACAGCGGATACCGGTTTCCACATTGGCCAACGACCTCGACATAGGTCGATTACTTGTCCATCAACTAGTCCACAGCCACCCCAAGCTATGTTTGTTCAGCGCGGACGAGGAAAGCATTATTCCCATAGATGAGCGAGACACGATAGTCACTCGCCTGTCATCTGGGGGACTGGCATCCAAGGCCGAATTCATTGCCCAGCACCGTGTCTCTTCCAAGAGTCTTGACTTCCTCCTGTCCAGTCAAGATTATAACGTCCTGGAAACTAACGGCTACATCTACGCTAAGGCCTATGCTCACAAGATCGCGGACATAGTAAAGAGTATGATTCAAAAGACGGTCGATGATGTCCGGTAAGTGCAGGACTTGCCTTAGATGCATCGCATGCTCACTCTGTACAGGACTCTCAATATCAAACCAGCTGATTTGCCTGACAATCCCCCTACATGGTTCATTCTGCATACTCTCGAGCGACTCTTGCAGTCTGAAAATCTTACTTCCAAGGTCAACATCCAGGAAACTGACGTTAGCGTTTTGTGCACACCCAAGCGATATCTAGAATCCGAACGCGATACCACAGTCTACGATCTGCAGTCCGGCGCTCTTGCCTATCTCGATGTGCAAAGATTCGCCTCCGACTTCATCGAACTTTTCCCGTCTTCCCAAGTCGCATTGTCTTACTTCCAGCAACTCTCAGGCATTGAGGTAATAGACTCTTTCGCTGTATCACTGATCTGGATCTCCAGGTTAGAGCAAGATTGCGTACGCATCCTTGAACAAGAAGGTTGTACCCTTGATGTCACCGAAGTGATTGGCTCCCGTCTTCCACCAACTATAAGGGAGCAGGTGGCCGGCCGAGCCAAGAACTCCATTGTCGCTCACTTCTCCGAGACCACTGGAGGGCTGAAGATAGTGCGCGTCGGCACTCTGATACTCACTGAAAGGCGCCGAGACGGAGCACTCGACGAGCTCGCTGGCTACGCAAAAGAAGCTGCAAAGGCACAATGGCAAAGTCTACACGACGATCCAACCCTAGTGGAAGACGTGAAATTCACTCGAGACAAGATCAAAGACATGATTCCTCCCACAGGCCTTGTTCAGCGCCTTCTCCTCCAACAAAAACCAGTTGAGAAGTTATTAGAAGAGCGCTTCTGGTTCCACGTGTCCTCGTTCGAAACACTGAATGAAGAGGAGTTTGCCATGTACTGGACAGATCGCATGCTCACCCGATATCGGATATACAGCGCCGGTTTAGTTTCAGTCATGGACCAAAAGGTGCACAGCCAGCTTGCTCAGGTCTTTGCAACTTACGCACACAAGGACCTTATACCCGATACTATTGCCAAAGCACGAGCGCAGGGTCTAGTCCTCAGCCGCAAAACAAGAAAGAATGTTACCAAGTTCTCGAGTGTGCTGGAGTCCACGACGCCTCTGGATAATACATCACTATCTTCAGCTTTGGAGAAATTCAACAAAAAACAAGGTATCAACCATCCATCTACAGATTCGCTGGCTGCTGCCAAGCAATCGATGCTCGACGACATGCTTCGCCGAATCAAGAAACAAAAAGCTTCCGACGGCCCCGTACTCTTCTTAACGCTAGTTATCTTGCTCTTCGCAAAGCAGTACGATGGTGTCGTATATGCAACGGGAAAGTTCACACCAAAGCTGTTGAAGTTATTGAAAGGCAAGCTGGAGTATGAGCAGTATGAGCAGCTTGAGAGATGGAAGGAAGCTGCCAAGGCCAATACCTTGAGCGCGGAGGATAGGGAGGGTATGGCCAGGATGGCAGCGACGTGAGATCATTGGTTTCAATGCCTACGACAACTCCAAGATCGCGCTTGTGATCGAATCTGGTACTTTCATTTGGGGGTTACATGCAAATGCTTGTCATGGTCTTTGCGACAGGTTGGCTTGTTCATCTATACCTCAGATAACACTCGGAAGATGGTATACTGGTAGAAACCCACGCTTACCTAGCATTAGAACAATGTTTGAGTCTTTCACGCGGCATCTATAGCCTCACTTCGTCCGAACCCTCTTTTCAACTGCGCACACTGTTTGCACCAAGCGGATGGTGGTACTACTCCCATTTGCGGCTGCGATTTTATCGAACGGCACATCTGATGTTGTTCTTCTCTTGTGCTTGCTTCTTCACTAATCCACAGGTTATCATTCGTCATGATTGAGCACTAAGTAGCGAGTATTGAACAACCACCGGTAGATGGATAATAGTCACAAATCATGTACGACTTGATGCACGTCGTGAAGTTGCCATGAGAAGTCGTACCTTAGCTTTCATGCGCAAGACTACCTGCCTTACATGTCCCAGAAGCACCGCCTAATGCAACACCCAGCATCTGTGTGTGTGTCTCTCTCTCTTTGTTTACCTATCCTCGCTTCCCTATACATCCTTCATGAGTTCCTCGAGCTCATCATCATCGTCCCAGTTCCCTCCCCTCCTGTTGACAACAATCTTCTGCTCTTCCTTCTCCTGTTGCTCTGCTACAGCCCCCAGTATCTCTTTGAGCTGATCTTCTGTAACCTTCTGTCGTAATTGGCCAGTCCGCGCAAGCATTATAAGTCTGTTCTCGATGTCGGTTGCGCGCGATTCCTTGACAAGGCGGATACGGCCGAGACGGTCGGCTGCTTCGGGGAGAAGGATTTGTGAGAGAATGGAGGAACGCTGGTCGGCTGATGGGAAGGGTTAGCCCGTGGTTGCTAATGGACGGCGGGGTTTGGACGAGTGGGCGAAGGGGGAGTGTGTGGTCAAGTGATGCATGTCTGCGCCAGGAGAGATTCTGAAAACGTACCCTCTTGCTGCCTGTAACTCTGCCTTAGTAAGAAACCTTGATCTTCGTGTATAATTGTATTTACTTTCGCGAATCTTGCTCGGCGCCTTCGCCTCCTTGTCCTCCGCTTCCCCCGCCCTGTTGTTGTAACTGCTGCAGGCGCGCGCGTCTTATCTGCTCGAGATCTTCGTCGGACATTTCGGTATTATGTAGAGTATCTGAGGGCTCGACGCGAAAGGTTGTTAGAGTAACGGCCTCTGCGGCGCAAGTACTGGTCGAGCAAAAGTGTGTTTACGCGGGGAAGTTCGCGGGTTGCTAGGGCACGGTCCCAATCGCACACCCCCCACTCCCTAGGTAGCTTGTCAGACACCTCAACCAAGAAGAGAATGCGATCTTGACTAAGACTGGGGCCTGGTCTTAGTTTGAGCTGGTCATTGAAGGCGCGCTCTGGTATGCGGGATGATTGAGATAGCTTTGAGGTGCTTCGCTGGAGTGTTGCCCGGCTGGTGTGTCGCCGACGCCCCAAAGATGCTCAGGGTGACGATAAAGCTGCAGCCGTCATCTCACGATGCTTTCTTTACATGTCGATCTTGGATATACTTACGGATGCTCTAATTGCTGTACTCCAGGGTGTGATTAGGAAGACTGAGAGGTGGAACTGACGAAGCTGGCTCAATGTATCGCTGCATTACGAAATTGACGACTGAGATGGACACGCAGTTGGCGTCATCGGCCATCGCGTAGGCCATAGTTTTAGTACCAGCTGAAAAGGCAGCTCTACATAGCTAGGCTGTGGACAAAGGGCGGAATGATAGAGACGATTTGTCGCTCACGACTTGTGTTTTACGAAGAACGTGTTTAGAATGACAAACTCAAGTCACGACTGATAGCGTGCGGCTATTCTAGTATGCTTTCAAGTATTCCACTTCGATTAGCCCTCTCGTCCAATCTGATTTCGCAACATGAAGCCCCCGCGTGTTGCATTCCACATTACGAGGCGGGTATTGACGCTTCTGCGACACCTTCAGCCCGCGGCAAATTTGCTACTACTCCTTAACTTCTCCCCAAACTTCCATAGCATGAACGGCGCTGGGACACCCAAAGCCAAGGCAATAAAGCCCAGCACGCTATTTCCCCATCCAAAATCCAACTTGTCATACATGGCCGGTGCAAACAACGGAAATCCAAACCCAGCCAACGACCTGAGCACCGTCGCCGCCGCGATAGCACTCGCAGCGTAGCGTGTATAGCTGTCAACAAGATAAGTCTGTATACACTGAAACCCCACAATAACACCCGCGCAAAATATCGCAGCACCGATATTAGGCATGATCCAATGTACCTGCGCTTGTGCACTCCAACCATACCAAAAAAGGCCGATTGGAACGAGAAGAGACGCAGGGATCATGATTGGAATGCGAAATTCTGGTTTACCGATGCCGTTGTTGCGTTTCTTTAGGCGGCGGTAGAGGGCGTCATTGAGGGGTGCGGTGATCTGTGTGCCGAGGAAGAAGCCCATGCCCATGGAGATGAAGTTCAAAGAACCAATCCCTATAGTCATGCCATAGCGCGTGACCCATAAGCTGGGGAAGGTCGAGAGCATCAGATACATGAGGCCATACAGGTAGGCCGTGTAGCAAGCTAGAACTTGCACAATGGGCTGGGTGATGAGCAGCTTGAACGGCCTTCTCATGGCGATTTTAATAGTTGTTGCAAGCGTTCGATCAGGATTATCGAACTCAGTGTGTAGCTCTTCGTTGCTTGTCTCTTTACGCAGTTTGTTTCGCTTCCACTCAAGGAGCTTTGGTGCGTATGTTTCTTGCAGAAAGAAGAACCCGAGACATTGCACTATTGCTGTGAAGATCGTGGTGGCGTAGAAACACCATCTCCAAGTCGTGTTTTGAGAGATGAAACCACCGGCAATAGGCCCGATAGCCGGGCCCAGTAATGAAGCCAGTGAATAGATTGCTATGGCTCGGCCACGCTGCTCGGGAAGGAAACAATCGCTAAGAACACCCTAGTAAGTCAATTAGCGTTTTATCTTCCAACGGCATTTTTCAGGAAGAGAGTACATACACCACCAATAGCTAATGGTGCAGATCCGCCTAAACCACTGAAGAATCGGAATGCCATGAGTTGGCCAGACGTCTGAGCAAATCCACATCCCAAATTCCAAGCCAAGTAGAACAAGTTTGACAGCTGCAAGACGATGACTCGTCCATAGATCTCCGATAGTGGGCCTAGGAACAGCGGTCCAATTGCATACGCCAGAACGAAGATGGATAAGGTAAGCTGGGCTTCGACTTCATTTGTGATGCCAAATTCAGCACTGATGCTGCTCAGAGCTGGCGAGATCATGGACGAGGATATTGGCGAGACGAGGGTAAAAGAAGAGACAATGATAGTTGCTGCCCATTTCCGCTTCATGGACCCTACCAGCTGTTAGACCACAACTTATCTGTGCTTAGTTGGGGAGACCAAACCTACAGATCTTTGGATTATGTGGGTCGAACTCTGAATCCCATGTGACCTTATGTATGTTAGATGTTACAGTAGCAGTCAATATTTGTCGGGTAGACTATACCAAATTTGGGTCTTTGACGGACCGCGTAGACTTTTGCTCTTCTAAAGGTGATAGTGCCACCACATCACGCTCGTATGGAGTACCACCCCGTATCTCCTCGTAAGTCGTATTTTCCTCTTGAGCGGTATCGTCTTTTACTTCTCTCCCACCTTTGTCATCGCCGCTGTCGCCGCCGTCGTCGTTGTCACTGGACGAGTTCTCGTCTCGCCTTTCAGTCTCAGTCTTGTGCAATGAACTGGCGTCCTCGTCGACATGGGTTCCCTCGCCATCTTCATGGTGATAAACCGAATGATCGTCTGGGAATTGACTGGACAAGATACGATGTAATGGTGCGTTGTCGAGTCGCCGTTGTCGGGATACTGATCGGCACGTGGATGATCTTTGAGCTCGTGGTCGTCTTGTGCTTTCCATGGTGACGTGAGACTGAGAAGAGGCGTTCACAAAGACTGGGTATGCTGTCAAATACGTGTAGCAGACTATGATTACTAGTGTAGGGCGTGAACTTCCATGTATATAAATATAACTCGTCTGTGTTTTTCAACGATAGAGAAGGTTGTGGTGAGGGAAACAGTGTCGCTATGCCGGCGTTCAAGCTTGGAAAGTGAATAGATACAGAACTTGCATGCGGCGAACTTCGCGATTTTGATAGAGTCTGCACGCTCGGTTTTAAGCACGTGTAGGACGAATCTCCGTGGATCGCGTGCCCCACAACGTTGGTCCTTTGATTCAGAGACTGTCGGTGCATCGGTAGACATTATTTCCCGAGCGCAGACTGAAAAGGAGTGGATACGGTTAGTCGTGCAGGGTTATCTGGGTGTGGCGTAGAAGCTTGGTAATATTGTAGAGGCCGGTAGTATGGGGTGACGTCAGGGGTTGCTGATTTCCGGCGCTACTGTCGCGTCGTGTAGTGTAGACATATATCCGATGTGGTAACTCCGACCTCGAGCCGAGACGAAGGAAAGTACACAGAAGTATGTACTGAGCTGTTGGTAAACAAAGCATCATCGTGGTAAATAGATAGTAGTAAACCGGAGACTGAATTTTGTACGCATCTGATTCGATACATTTCATCCCGTGTTGTATATATGCACATATGGTGGGAGTACTCAATTCACCACTACCAAGGGACGCGGAGTCAATTTTGTGCCATGACTGAACAGGTTATCGGGGTCGTACTTGTGCTTAAGTTCCTCGAGTCGCTTCACGTTTGCGCCGAAGATCTCGTTCGCCTCAACATCGGCAGCTGCATAGTTGCCGTACTGACCTACACCACCATCCTTTGACCGTTCCGAGGCAGTTTCTGAGGCTTTTTTGAGAAGGTTTCGTGAGAACGTACGAATTTTGTCGTCAAGTGAAGGATCGAACCTGTGCTCTCTTTAATATTAACTCCTCTGTGGTGCTGATTTGGCTTACCATTTCATCATCACAGCTACATTATAGTAATCGCCACGATTTGAGAAAGCCGTCTTGTCGTTGGAAATCTCCATGACCTTCTTATAAGGAACGGCTTCAAAAAGCATCATGCTTTCGTTCATTCGCTCATGCGACGCCACAAAAGCATTGAACTCAGCGTGAAGCTGCATAGCGAAGTTTGGGTCCATGGGGAGTCTGAAAGCGCCACCACCGAAAAGCTTACGTCCATCAAAGCCGGCTCCTTGGTTAAGAAGGCTGTTGAGTTGAGGGTAGGGAATCATGGCGGTCATGTTCGCTATTGGGCCGAGTTCAAATAAGTCGGCGAAGAAGGCGTTTCCTTCTTCTTCGTTACCATTGTGAAAGATCTGGCAAATTACAACTGAAGCATTCGCTGGTGGTGGGGCAGAGAAGCCCATTAGCATCGCTTGGTTGCCGTCGTTGGTAGTATGAAACTTATTTGCGAACTGAACGACCTGTGGTAGCTTATCCGGAAGGAAAACCAGCGGCCCCGCAAACACATGGCTCCTCTGTTGATAACCCTGGAATGTGAATGCCGTCACTACTCCAAAATTCTGACCTGCGCCTCGTACAGCCCAGTATAGGTCGGGGTTTGAGGTGGCTGACGCGACAACTTGTTCACCAGAAGCGAGGACAATGTCAACGGACAAGAGATTATCTGGAAGATGTCAGTAACGCAGACTTTGTCAATACTCATTGATACTGGTTCATGCACATACCAATCGTTAAGCCGTACTTTCCTGTAAGATAACCATAGCCTCCTCCCAGAGTCAAGCCCCCCACGCCGGTATGGTTGACGGTGCCACCTACAGTTGCAAGACCAAACTTGGCAGCCTCAACGTCGACATCTTCCCAGATAGTCCCACCGTCTGCCTTGATTGTTTCGGCATCCACATCGACAATCACCTTGCGCATCTTGGAAAGATCGATGACGATGCCATCTCGGATAGACGCAGCTCCAGACGTGCTGTGGCCTCCCCCTACAGGAAGTGAGTCTTTCTCTCACATGTAACTTGGCTGTACTCTAATGTGCTTACCGCGGACTGTGAAGGGGATTCTGTGCTCGCGTATTTGAGCTAAAACCGCGGAGACGTCACGGGCGGACCGGACTAGGACTACAGCAGCCTTTGCTCGTATAAGTGCGTGAACATGATGCAGAAACATTTGTATAGAAAGACAGAACTAGGGGGACGTACAGCTCGTTTTATGCAGTGCTCACTCCACCTCTCGATGCTCTTTTCGTACTCTTCACCGTCGCCCGGAAGTAGGACTTCAGCAGTCGTGTTGTCGAGTAGCTTCTTCAGCGACGGATAGTCAAAGTCTCCAGACCCCAGGCCCATTTTCATAGTTTCGAAACAACTAAACGATGTTGTATAGTTGGTGGGAGCCATCTCTAGCGGGGCGCAGGCTGAGTAAACATGTCGGCACGCATCTGGATTGGGCAGGGCTTAGCGCGTGGACCCTGGATTCAAGATGCGGCGAACTTTGCCTCGAGCGGCCAGAATGCATTGCTCGACAAGATCAAGGTCGGCGTTCGATGATGCTGAAGACGAGAGGCTTACCGTCAGTATGTGCATCGTGCCGACTAAACATTGCCATTTCACGAGCGCGTAGCGCAAGATTACCCTCTCAGACACGGCACGCGCCGCCGCCGCTACGCTTGGTCGCCCCGGAGCCTACAACGCCCCGAAGAGCCTTCTCTACAGCCTTTGGAAGACGACAATTGCAGCAACATGCCTCACGGGATACTGAAGGCTTGCCTCCCTCGGCAGCCGACGCGGTTAGCCACGAAGTCAACGCGCGGAGAGCAAGGCAGCAGTTCGGCGATACGTTGCCGCGGGACCACTTGACCGACGACGAGTACACAATATACAAGAGGCTGTATGGCCCAGCCGTCTTCGCAGATGCTGCCGAAGAGGCGGAACGCGTTGACGGTGCAGTTGACGACGAGATTGTCGAGCAGGAGGGGCCTGATGGTTCCATCGTCTTGCTCAGGAAGGGGGTGGACGGCCAACTCGAAGAGATTGAAGTCGCGGAAGAGGTCGATGCCGAAGACGAGGCAGCTGCTGAGCCGGACCAAGAGACAATGACACCTGAAGAATGGGAAGCGCGCAGGGAGGAAGAGGCGCAGGCATACCACGACGACATCTACGAGCAGAGTCGACTGCAACAAGAGGAAGCAGAGGCCTGGGAGGACGTAGATGAAGTGCAAGAGGAAGACGGCTTTATGCGCGCACATCCATTGACCATCGAGGGCCGCTTCAAGCCATCGCCTTCGACCGTCTTTCTGCCCAAGAACTCGCTCGTCGACCCTACCGCGCTGCTTCTGACGCGCGCCAACCACAAACACCTCGCCGAGTCTGCGAACCGTATCTTTGGCGGTCGTGGTTTGCCTCACTCCGCTAGCACGACCCCTGCACGCTTGGGCCACGAGCAGAAACCAATTCCGCTCGACCCTTCGCAGTCAGATATGGGCAACATCGAGGCTGATGTTTACATGGCTTCTGTACAGCCAGGCACATACGCAAGTGTCATGAGCGCCATGGTTGAAGTCCGTCGCCGATTAGGGTCAGGATGGCTGCAACACATGCTGCAGGACAAAAAGGGTGGCACCATACTAGACGCTGGCTCTGGTGGTGTCGGCGTGCTCGCATGGCACGAGATGCTAGAGGCCGAATGGCAACGTATGCACGAGTACTCGGGAAACACGTCGCTTGGCGCTACCCCGTTGGGAAAGGCGACTGTCTTGACCGCATCTGATGCACTGCGCCACCGTGCAAGCAAGTTGCTGGACAACACAACATTTATCCCGCGACTGCCAGAGACTGTGACAGCGGCCGACGATGCAAACACGCAGCAACCGCGCAAGTTCTATGACGTCATCATTGCGCCACATACACTTTGGCCCATCCGACAAGACTATCTTCGCAGAGAGCAAGTCGAAAAATACTGGTCTCTTCTGAACCCCAAGGGTGGTGTTCTCATCCTCATTGAGAAAGGCCTACCACGAGGCTTTGAAGTTGTAGCCGCTGCCCGTTCATACCTTCTAAACAAACACATATCTTCTCCCGGCTCAGAAACTATCGAGACGCTACTCGAATCTCAGGTGTCAAAACCGGACGAAGAGACTAGATTCTCTGAGAAGGAGACGGGAATGATCGTTGCACCATGCACGAATCACAGCACGTGCCCGATGTATCAGTCTACAGGTGTGAGCCAAGGAAGGAAGGACTTTTGTTTCTTCAATCAGCGGTACATCCGCCCTCCATACCTTCAACGTATCTTGAATGCAAAAGACAAGAACCATGAGGATGTGCAGTTCAGCTACCTAGCCGTCCAGCGTGGACGCGACCAGCGCCTTCCACAATATGACATCCTCGGCAAAGGGTTCGTGCAAGGTGAAGCATCAACCGCCGCAGCTTTTGAAGGGCACGAATGGCGCCCATCATCAGACCCAGGAACCGAAGAGCCCGTCATGTCCTCATCTACCGACGTTAACCCACTCACCTTCCCACGTCTTGTGCTCCCCGCACTTAAGCGCAGAGGCCATATCATCTTAGATGTGTGCACACCTGCTGGCACGCTAGAGCGCTGGACCGTCCCACGCTCCTTCAGCAAGCAAGCTTACCGCGACGCGCGAAAAGTCCGCTGGGGCGACCTCTGGGCCCTCGGCGCAAAGACGCGGATACCACGCAACGTACGTCTAGGCCGGCCAAACGACGAATTCGACAAAAAGGGCAGGAAAGTCAAGAAGGCGAAGCAAGTCACTATCGAAATAGGTGTTGGTGAGAAAGATGGAAGGACCGTCGAGGAAGGCCCCGCAAAGGTGCTTGGCAAGGGAGGGAGGTTGTTGGTTGGTGACCGCGATGGACGGTATACTGCGGATCGGAAAATTCGGGGTAGCAAGGGAAGGAAAGGGAGGAAGCAGAGGGTTGAGCACGATGCTTATGACTTGGATGACGTATGAATGGTGACTATAGGTATGAGTGGTGTATTGTACGATATGGCTGTTTCCGCGGATTCAGAGAATTGCCGCTCAGTTCAAGTTCTCTTCCATTTCGCTTCCTGCGCGGCACAGTTCCGTTGCATTTCAACCTACCAAACGGCCAAATATCCCGATTCGCCAAGTCATGTTGATTGGTAAGTCTTCGCTTGGCACCGATTACGTCCTGTTTGTAACCCTTCATGCACGTTCCCGACGTCCTCCTTCTGGATTCGTCCTCTTGGCTTCTCACCTACTCAACGACTGGCAAAGAGCGAGAATGTATGAAAGCAAAGTCCGGGGTGATTGTGCTGACATACAGGTATGCAGCACAGATTATAAATGCAACGGGACTCTGGAAGCTGGCGGATGGATGGGAGGCTGCCTGATTGTCCGTTCCACTGCATATAAGTATCAACGGAGGGCACATGCATCTTCAATAGGACCACCAACCGCTTCTGTATCTTGGCCCCATTTGTCTCTTGTCTCATCGTACCGCCTCACGCACCTGGGCAGCATCAACCCAACATCATGCCCACCAAACCCGTCGCCCTCATTCTCGGCGCAGGCCCCAATGTAGGCTTAGCCATAAGCACCTCATTCACCATCCTGAACTACCGCGTTGCAACTGCCTCCCGATCCGGCACGAACAGCATCAACCCTGACACGGGCATCCTCACCCTGAAAGCCGATTTCACGGCGCCAACATCCATTCCCAACCTCTTCTCGCTCGTGCTAAAAGAGTACGGCACATCGCCCAGCGTTGTGGTCTGGAATGCCGCCGCGCTGACGCCTCCCCCTGTGGAAGAGAGCGTGCTATCCATATCCCAGGAACAATTTGCCAAAGACCTGAATGTCAATACCGTGAGTCCGTATGTAGCAGCGCAGGAAGCGGTCAAGAGCTGGGAAAGCATGGGGGAGGAGCATGCAGGGGATAAGAAGACGTTTATCTACACTGGCAATACGCTGAATCAGACCATTGCGCCTGTCCCGCTGTTCTTGACACTGGGTGTGGGAAAGAGCGCGAGTGCGCATTGGGTTGGCATGGCAGATGCTTTGTACAAGGAGAAGGGGTATCGGTGAGTTGTTTTTTTCCCTCTACGCAACACTTCTCTTGCTGTCAACGTGTGGGTTGGACATGGGATGTTCTGCTAATATCGGGTTATAGGTTCTTCTATGCAGACCAACGACAGCATGGTAAGAAAATGACTATACAAACCGCATATGAGAGATACACTAACTTCATAACTTTACATTTGCAGATGGTGCACCCATGCTAAACGGTGTAGATGGCCCTGCGCACGGCGCATTCTATGCGCAGTTGGTGCAGCAAGAAAGGGATGTACCGTGGTTAGCTACGTTTGTCAAGGACAAGGGCTATGTCAAGTTTTAGACGTGTCAGGATCGCGACTTTGCTTGAGAGGTGGAGCTATGGAAAGACTACATGCACGGGTCATTTCTATAGATGAATTTGATTAATGTCAGCATGGCCTATATACAGACGACCCGCTGCCGTCGACTACGACTGCTAGCCCAACGCAAACGCTCTCGTTATATGCCGTACAAAGTAAAATGGGTATATCCTCCTTCCGGCTTATGACACCAGTGCAAACTCTAAAAAGAAAAGTAGTGGTCCCTCTAAGCCGAGTGTAGGCTCGGTTGACGCCCAGTGATGCAGCAAGACATAAGAGAGTATGTGTAGATGTAATGTATGATGGATGCTCAGATCATCAAGCCGGCACCAATTGTGACGGCGCTCAGGCCTGTCTCGCGACTGTCCTCGCTCGCTCGTCGCTTTCCTAACGTCTTCAGTTGACGCGCGGTATCCATCTTTGTTTGCGACATGCCAGACGGCGATGGTGGGCCTGATGGGCCTGTAGCATCGCTGTTTGACTTGGAGCGCATAGGGCCTAGGTCTTCGCCGAAAGTGATTGAGGTGATGGAATCATCACTGACACCACGAATAGGCGAGCTGGGTCTCTCTGATGAGGCAGCAGCGGATTCAGTTTTGTCTGCGGTGGCTGTTGGTGAGCTGTGGATCGTTGTAAGCCTTGCAGAGCGTTTGGACCTCGCGAAACCATGCACGTCGTAACGGGGTGGGTGCGGGGTATAGTCGACGAGCATGTGCGCCTTGACGCTAATGCGGAAGCGTTGGCCTTTTCCAAAGACTACGTCGCTGACACGTGGAGAAGAAGCAAGCAACACTGGAGCGCAACGGCGGCGGTAACGCAGGGTCTGCGCAGGGCAAGGTCGGATCGCGGGTGCCGATTTGGAATCTGACGAGGAGTCACTCTCAGGACGCTCGTCATCGCCTTGCTCGTAATCGTGCGAAGATATGCGTGCTAGAGATTCTCTCGCATGCCGCGTCGGGAAACGAACGTCTTCGGGGTCGAAGTCGTCGAATTCTAAGTCTGGCGCGGGTGCTGCGTGACTGATGCCCGAATCGCGGGTGCCAGCCAGATGTGGGTAAAGTTGGCGGATAATCTGCTCCTGTTGTGCAATGATGCGTCGGCCGGCTTCTAGACTTGTCAGACTCTCGAGGTTTTCTCCGAACTGCGCGTTGTCCAGAATGCGTTGACGCCTGCCCCTTCGAGGAAGACTTCTGTAGCGGGGCTCGCTGCGATCTTCTAGGGGTGCACTGATGTCGATGGCGGCGCAAAACAATTCCACCCAGTCGAGCATGCCTTGCTCGGTCGACGGACAGAGCAAGAACTGCTCAAACTCCAGGCGCAGGCGGATGGCATGTTCCCGTACAGGCTCGAAAAGCTGTGGATCCGTTTCGTACAGTTTAGGCCGAGCGACAGCGGGCACCAGGTGGGCGAAAGGAGACTTTGGTATCAGCAACGTCTTCTTGAAATCAGATGCCACGCCAACTTCAGCATGCTGCAAGGAATAGGTTCGCAACAAGCGACCTGGGCATGGCTCTTTGTTCTTGCTGAGGAGACGCGGGTACTTTATGCGGTGTATGCTCAACTGCGTGCCTCGAAGTATGGCGTAGACATCATGCCATTCTCGATGTCCCGAGACCTGGAATGGCGAGGATAGTTCCTGCTTGATGCCAACAAGTCCTTCCATCTCGACGGTGCAGGTGTAGGGCGGGGGTGACTGGATACTGCGCACCGCCTCTTTCTCTCTCCTTGTCCTTTCGTCTAGGACGCGACGGGTCTGAGGATCGGTTGCGCGAGCATACGAGGGCGGCGACCCGATGGGCAGTTGGGCGTGGGTGTGGTAGGTGTTGTGGTATCCATATGTTGACGTGGCCGGCGAAGGGTTTGTCGAGCGAGGCCGTGGTGCACGTGTTTGAGCCATGGCTTCAGTGGTCGAGTCTATGGAGCAGGGCGGTGCGTTGAAGAGTAGATGGCTGCAAGGCTGCAGGGCTCTAGGCCAAGGTCAGGGCACGACTTTAGTGTAGGTATCGGCGCTGTATTTGGAAGCGGCGTGTGGTGCCAAAGCAGCTCATGGACCTATCGAGGAGAAGGCGCCATGAACGGGTGGCTTGCGGTAGTGGTTTGACGATGGAATCCCCGGACTCGATGTGTCACAGTGATTTGTTCTCGTCAGGAAAAAGTAAGTCGAGCAAACGGACAAAGTCCAGTGTCGCTGTCGAGATGACGCCACAGGAGCTGCAGAAGCGAAAGAAGCGGTGGCAGGCGCGTTGGGTATATCTAAAAGCGACGACAGGGGTGGTCCTGCTGTGGAATGAAATGCGGACGGGGCGCGTCGTATGTGACCGAGGAAGATGCGACACCAGTCTGGCGGAGAGATTGACAGCGCAGGGCAGTGCGAATGGAAGCTGACGGAGAAGAGGAGCATCACTTGTTGCTATCAGCTGCCCTGCAGTTGTTGGTGCCATGCAAGGATAACTCGTCAAGGCCTGAAGACGTTCCAGATGCCGCTAACAGGACCTAGAAACAGGCCCACCCGCCCCTTTGAGCCAAGTCGAGTCCTGCACCTCTGCAAGCGATCCGTCGTCCGCCGCACTCCACTCCACCCTGCGTGCTTTTTGCCTCAGCTGGGAATCTCGCGCACCTCCCACCGAGCCTAGAATCACCACACCATCGCTTTTCTCGCTGCTCCCACACCACGCTGACAGTCTCGGCTCCACCACCATGACACGCCCCGCGCCCTGCTAACGCAAACCGCGCCACTTTAGCTGAGTCAGGCCTCGCCCTAGGTCGGCTTTATCTTGGCTTCGACACATGACGGCTTCTTGCCCTAGGCATGCGGAAGTCATCAGCTAATTGCAATCCCACGGCTCGGGTTCGCAGTACGCTGGCGCAGGCGGCACGCGTTCGCCGCTTGTCTTTGTCCTCCGTACCTCGGACACGCTCGCCTTGTGGCCTATACTGACCGACACACGCAGGTCGCACCCTCCTGTCCGATTCCAGATATCGCCAACACCTTCTTCCTGCTCGACTATCTTCCTTTCTTCTTTGCCGCTCCTTTTCGAACATCGTCTTTTTGTCTTTCTACGTCATCTTTCCCTCACTTTCGCGTCACCTATGAGGCAATCCTGCTTGTGCCACGCCAAAGACATTTTCAATAAACAATTTCCGTGGTACGGTTTGCGTAGGGTGAAGAGCCAGATGACTATCGCTATCTCAAATTAGCCCTAGGACAATCATACATCGCATAGCGGATATCTGCAGTGATGCACTCTATGCGTGTCTCACACTCATATCCGGCATATTCGTGGCAACCGGCACCTTTGTCTCGACAGCTTCGTCTAGTATCCTGGTCTTGATTTGAAACCTATGATCCTCTCCATACCGTCATCATCCATCACCTTAAATTTCGCTCATGCCTCCGTGGCTGGTTACTCTATTCTTCAATAGCAGATCGAGAGCTACATTTGAGTAGGTCTGTCACCGAGGTAGTGCTCCAAAGAGCGCTGACTAGTATTTGGAGGCAAGTTAAGATGAACCCATTGTAAAACACAGCCACTCGTAAACCCTTCAGCCACGCATTCAGCCGCATCATAACGAAGGAAGGAGTCAAGCAGAGCAGAAAAATGATTCGCCTCTGATTTGCTTCACGTAGGGTTTGGCGCAGATCTATCTTGAGTGTAGCATGGCGGTACCAAATTTCTACTTGATGTAGAGCATCGTGGACTGTACCCATCTACGCAGCGATCTTGATAACAGCCCGTCCAGCAAGCTTCCCTGCATTCATGTCTGCACAGAACCGATCAATATCCTCCAAACCACCATGAGTCAGAATCGGATGTACGAGTCCTCGCGAAGTAAAGTCGAGTGCCTACCCGCCCAGTTAGTAGCAGTCTCCCTACCTAGCTCGCGAGAATAACACTCACCTCCTCAACGTCCTTTAGCGTTCCTGTCACGCTTCCCACAACATTCAATCTCTTGAGGCACATCAGGATTGGACTAGCTCCCGCAATGATCGACGAATCTTTCGGTAGACCTACACACACCATCGTGCCGTTGGGTCTCAGCAAGTTTGGCGCTTGTTCGTAGCCTGCTTTCGTTGCTGCGAAAACGATCACGCCATGGGCGCCATAAGTAGTAATCTTCATGATCTCGGAAGTGATGTTCGAGCATGTAGTGAAGTCGATAAACCTCTCGGCACCAAGAGAGAGGCAGAGATCGCGTTTAGCGGCGCCGCCGTCGATGGCAATAACGCGCATACCCATATGGCGAGCGTACTGAACACCAAAATGACCAAGGCCTGGGTGGTATCAGTATCATCTTATATGACGGTTTCAATTTCGTCGCTGCGAAAGACGGAAGAGGACACAAAAGCGCTATGCGCATACTCACCACCACCCGCTCCCGGAATGACAATCCACTGCCCGGGGAGTACCTTACTTCTCTTGCAAGCCACATATGCTGTAACACCACCACACATGATCGGGCCCGCCTCCTCGTCCTTGACACCATCAGGCAATCTCGTCGCATACCTCGCATCCGTTAAGCAATACTCCTGGAACGTTCCCGCAACAGTAAATCCACTGTTCAGCTGCTTCGGGCAATGACATTCGTCTTGGCCATTAGTACAAAACTCGCATCGTCGGCATACAGACGCAATCCATTTGATACCAGCGCGATTACCAGGCTGCCAGAGATCCTGCACGTTTGCGCCAACGGCTACAACGATGCCAGCGCCCTCATGGCCTGCGATGCCTTTGGTACATTCGGCCATCTTGAAGTCCCACTCATCATGGAGCAGGGATTTGTCCGAGGCACAGAGGCCACTGTAGTTTATCTTGACGAGAATCTGGTCAGGAGCTGGTTCCGGGACAGGAATCTCCTTGATGGTAATCGTAGCGTTGTCGCCGGTGCCTTGTTTGATGGCCGCCTTTTGTGTTTTGGGGAGTTGCATAATGTTACTGTATTCGGGACGATGTGAAGAAAGGGACTATGGCTGATTGAGGAACATTGAGTCACTCCGAATACACCTATATATGTATCAACACGGACACCCGGCACTCACTGTCCTATGTGCGGGGGTCGAACTTAACGGACCTTGTTCTTGGCCTTTGTACGAATAGTCGAACGTTACTGATCGGGGTCGCAAAAGCATGAGCAGTCCGAATTCGGTACACAGATAATCCCTCTACCATTGTCAAGACGTTGCGTTCATAATCTACCGTGCATCGTCACCGAAGCCCTCGTGATCCTACGGCACTGCAACTCGGGAGACCAGATCGGATAAAGCACGTTCGTGTCAAGGTCTGCGGGGAGTATCCGCTGTGTATACGAACCGAGGATGAGGGGCACGCGAGACGGTGGACGTGCGGAGACGACTAACGATTAGCGTGCAAGGCGGGGTACAGACATGAGGTAGATTGGACATGAGCGAGCCGTTTGTGACAGAGTTGAAAGATTCGGGAAAACTAAGAGGAGAGAATTATTGGGTTGTTGTTGCTGCTCTCATGCTGCAGTACTTGGTGTCTACGAGGGGTTGAACCTCAGTTCGGGACGCCCCAGGGCGCATCATACTCATGCAGCCTTCTTTCAAGGCTATACCGAAATTTGTACGCCGACCAGTGCAGTTATCCTCTGAACCCAGAACGCCGTGCCAAATTCAATGCTCCCATTCTTCTTACCATGCCGTGATATCGTCGACCTCAGCCTCACCAAACGTGCTGCTTTTGGTGGCGACCATACCAGAATCGCTTGTTGCGGTCTCTACGTTTGGTGTTCTATTCATGATCTCTGGAAGCTCGGTCTCGAGGAAGCCTAGTAAGTGTTTGTTTACCTGCTCAAATTCGAGGAGGAAGGCGTCGTGACCATCTGGAGAATCGATCGTCTTAAGTGTAGCCTTGGGAATACAAGCGGCCAATTCCTTCTGTTCGGCAAATGTGAAGAGACCGTCCGACTGTATACCTAGTACCAGTGTAGGCTGTTCAATCAAGGAAAGCGCATAATGAAGGGCCGATACTGGATCTAGTGTGTCGGGTGTCTCGCCTTCAGGATAGCGGTAGCGGGATACATCATGCGTATCCAGCTTTCTTGTGATTGCGATGTAACAATTAGCGTCAAAACGCTTGATGAACTTGTCGGCCTGGTAACGGAGGTAGGACTGTGCTGAGAAGTAGTGCGGCGCAAGAGGCTTCGATGAGCGCGGGAATTGACTGTTGCTACTTGTCGAGCTTGACCTTTCGAGGTTCGGAGTGGCTGGGTCCGATGCATCATGGAACTCGAGGTCGGCATGTGCGGCTGCAGAACCGGGTATGGCGGTACTGCTGTTTGTCCGTGACATCAGACGCGGCGAGCCAGCGTTCTTGTGACCGTGGTTGTGTATCGCCCAGTGTTCATGGGAGGGATTGGACGGAGTGGTCGGTCGCGGTACAGTATTGATGCTCTGTTTCTTGGATAGGTCTGGTGTGTTGCGCCCAAATCTTGATTCGAACGAGTCGCGGCTTCTGTAAGTCAGTAAAGCAGACATGCGTGCGGCTCCAAGCCCGGTCGATGGAGGATCTTCATATGCGTAATAGCCGTCGTCGTATTTGGGGTCACTGTAGATACTTTGCCGTTGCGCTTCGCCCCAGCTGATGCCCCATGCGCTGTAGCGAGCGGAAGTGGCTATCGGGATGATGGTCTTGACGTAGTCTTTTCCGAAGTAGGCAAACTCGAGGACAAGCATACCGCCCATGGATCCTCCAATGACGGCAGCGACCTGCTTCACACCAAGATCATCCAAGAGGAGCTTGAAGACACTGTGCCCGTTAGCAGCTTCCAAGTACGAATTCCAGATTTCGCTCGACTAACTTGACATCGTCTCTTACAGTTGTCAGTGGAAACTCGGGTCCGTACGGACCCAGCGAGACGTCGCCATCTTTTGCTGTGACCGGGCTTGCGCTCCCGTAAGGACTGCCGAGACTGTTCATACAGACGACGAAGAAGCGCGATATATCAAAAGCCTTCCCAGGCCCACCTAGCAACGGTCCCCACCAGTCTCCCACGTCAGCGCTTCCGGTGAGCGCATGGCATATCACCATGGCATTGTCTCCGCTGGGCGCGAGGGTACCGTAGGTCTTGTAGGCAACGCTGACATTGTGTAACACGACGCCGGATTCGAGCGTGACCCGGGGGATGACGGCAAAGGTCTGGTCGGGGATAAGTTTGGCGAACGGATTCTCGGGCTGCGACGACACCGTCCCTACCGCATGTCAGTTTGGATCATGCACCGCCAGAACGCGTCAAGAAAGCCCGTCTGGATTCTTCAACATTCCGCATAGCAAATTACAGCAACCAGCCGTTCTTGCTTTGCCTGTCCGAAATGCTTGCGACGGCAAGAAAAGTTCAAAATGCACCTACTGTACTTCGTCGATCCATTGGCAGATCCATAAGTATCCATAGTCGCGATGTCGTACGTGTAGTCGTAGGGAAGAGTGGAGCCTGCGTTGCAGGAAGTCTGGCGTATCGATCACATTGTGGGGAGTCATCACATTGGTGTCGAGTGCTGCTTGCAGACGCCCGCTAGACGAGGCTCGCCAAGACAATGACGTGCTTTTGGGATTTGCCTGGCCCGTATGATGCCCTCGATCTGTCAAACATCAACCATCACCCTTTGCCTAGATTGGTTTTTTGAAGTGTCTGCCCAAGCCTTGATACTCTTGACACTGCTTCCAAAGTTCCCCGCAATGCCCGAGACCAGACTCGAGGCTTCCCTCCGAGTGTTGCCTGTCCGCCATCGTCTAGGATTGTTTTCACCTACTTGGCGATATAATCACTGCTTTGCGCAAAATGGCGTTACCATACGATTTCTCCCATGAGGTTGTGCAACAACACGAAGACTGTCGCCAAACCCTCGAGTGCAATCAAGAGACAGAGTCACCGGCTGCCCGTAGGTGTTTCAAGTTAGATGATTGGACAACAACAGAAAGGTTGAGCTCTCCCGACTTTGATTGCGATGGTCATGAGCAAATTGCAGGTTGTTGTCTGGTTTTTATAGTACACAGAAATATATTGTTGGCCCAAATACGACTTGTCATCGTCGAAATAATGCATCAACCGACTGGCGCAAAGCGTACTCTGACCAGTCAACGGCTGCAAATGGAAACCAAGCTCACCGTGCACTATATAGAATTCCTGCGATGGGAGCGAAATGAAGGCATCTAAAACAACAAGGACGGACACGGCTATGTAGCACGCACCTCTCGCTAACGGACGCCACACGTGGCTTGCGCGTGACACTAGCTCTCTCTGCCCACCCAAACGCGTCCGCATCCAACATCAACCATTATTACTGACATGCGATGCGACGGGTAGTAGTAACAGGCTTAGGGCTTGTAACCCCTCTTGGACTAGGTGACGCGACGTTCACCTTGCTTTGATCCCATTTCTCCTAACGCGGATAGGTGTTCGACGAACCTGGAAGCGTCTGATCGATAGCCAGTGTGGCATCGTTTCCATCAAAGACAGAAGCCCTGAATTCGCGCTGCTACCGAGCCAAGTCGCTGGTCTGGTTCCTCAGGGTAGCAAAACCGATGGCAAATGGAATACAAAGGAGCATCTAAGCCACAGCGTATGTGCCGCCACCCAACGTTCTCGTCTTTGACAATGTTAATTTTATTACAGGATGAACGCCGTATGGCACGCTTCGCACAGTACGCCATGGTGGCGTCCGATGAAGCTCTCAATGATGCGGGATGGTTTTCGAAGGAAGAGGCCGATCTTGAAGTCACAGTACGGAGGCTCAGCATCCGCCCAGCCTGCATCTTACTCACGCCGAGATAGGGAGTGTACATGGGATCTGGTATCGGCAGTTTAGACGATGTGTATGATACCACAATTGCTTATGAGAGAGGCGTGGGTTGTCCCAGCTATCGATCGTAACTGTCAACTGATTGTGCTAGGGTTACCGAAAGGTGTCCCCGCTCTTTGTTCCACGACTGTTGATCAACCTAGCCGCAGGTCACATATCGATGCGTTATGGGTTCAAGGTGGCTATAACCTTCTGGCTATGTTTGTTGATGCTGAGCCATGATAGGGACCGAACCATGCGGCAACAACAGCATGTACGACCGGAGCACATAGCATCGGAGACGCGTCACGTTTGATTCAGTTCGGAGATGCAGATGTTATGATAGCCGGCGGAGCTGAATCATGCATTCATCCTCTCGCCATATCAGGCTTTGCTAGGGCTAGAAGCCTGGCTACTGAGTTCAATGAACGGCCCATGGAGTCCAGTCGACCATTCGACCGAGAACGGGATGGTTTTGTCATTGGAGAAGGAGCCGGAGTTGTGGTTCTCGAGGTACGCGATCGCTGTGTGCAAGGTTGCCGTACCTGTCGTATCTAATCAGGTGCAGGAACTCGAGCACGCAAGGAAGCGAGGTGCGAACATCTATGCTGAAGTCGCCGGCTACGGACTGTCCAGCGACGCACACCACATGACGGCACCTCGCGAAGATGGCCAAGGCCCACGTCTCGCAATGAAGCATGCACTACGACATGCCGGCCTCAAGCCAAGCGCTGTCGACTACGTGAACGCCCATGCGACGAGCACCCCACTAGGTGATGCTGCGGAGAACCGAGCCATCAAAGAGCTTCTGCTTGGCGAAGACGGAAAAGATAGAGCTTGTGAAATCAATGTGAGCAGTACAAAAGGTGCGGTCGGACATCTTCTGGGTGCTGCAGGGAGCGTGGAGACAATTTTCACGATTCTTGGGATGCATCACGTAAGTCAGATGTGGTTCTTGCCATAGCCTACATGTTGACGATGACCAGAACATCCTACCTCCGACTCTCAATCTTGAGAATCCAGGAGATCCGGCGGTTGACTTTAACTGCAACTACGTCGCCAATGCTGCTCAACAGCACAGAGTCAATGTGGCTCTCTCGAATAGCTTCGGTTTTGGTGGCACCAACGCATGTCTATGCTTCCGCAAAATCTGAGAGTCGACGATAGTTCACCATATACAATACGAGCTTCTGATCGTCAAAACTTGATGCCGAGGTTTTGTGGATTCGCGACTATTAGTACACCATGATGCTAATTACCCCGCCAGAGGGTCACGATAACAGCTGCTAGCCCCACTTGGCGTCATTTGCATCCCACGGTGCTCTGCGATACTTACCTTCCAAGCTTCATTATAGGTACCTCTCTAAACTTCTTTCTCTTTCTATCACACTTCGATCGCAATTTCTCGTGTCCTTTGTTACGCGCGAGAGCGAGATCTGGTAGAATGGCAACCTCCCGCCCCTCATCTGTAGTGGGTAGCGATGCAGGGAGCAAATTATCATTCTTTCGCAATGCATCCAACAAAGCATCTGCATATCATGCGCAGACACCCTACCTCAGAAGGCTCCCATTCGCGGCAATCGCAATCATCATCACCCTCGTCGCTGTAAACCTCCTTGTTTGGGCGGCAGTTGGTATAGTCTTAGTAAGTAAAGAAGGTGAATCCAAATGGCGTTGATCGCATATGCTAAACGTCGGCAGCACTGGCATACGCCACTGATCTCGACAGCAATCCTCTCGTACACTCTGGGCTTGCGCCATGCCCTGGATGCAGATCATATTTCGGCGATCGATCTCATGACTCGCCGTCTGGTTGCTGCAGGCCAGCGGCCAGTGACGGTTGGAATGTTTTTCAGTCTCGGACATTCTACCATCGTCATCATCACGTCGCTCATCGTTGCAGGAACTGCAGCGGCGGTGTCAGACAAGTTTGACAATTTCGAGCGTGTCGGTGGCATCATCGGCACTTCTGTCTCTGCTGCTTTCTTGTTGCTCCTTGGTCTTATGAACATCTACATTCTGTACAAGCTCATAGTACAGATGCGAAAGATGGTTTCGAGCGACCCTGGTAGTGAGCACGAACAGTTCAAGATACAGGGCGGCGGTTGCCTCTTCCCGATATTGCAGAAGCTCTTCAAGTTGGTCGACCGACCCTGGAAGATGTATCCTCTGGGTGTACTTTTCGGGCTAGGTTTCGACACTTCTTCCGAGATCGCTATCCTAGGAATAAGTTCGATTCAAGCCACAAAGGGGACATCAATTTGGCTGATCTTGATCTTTCCACTGCTCTTCACAGCAGGCATGTGCCTTCTCGATACCACCGATGGTGCGCTGATGATGAGTCTGTACACAAGCACGCAACTTGCGCGCGACCCGATCGCCATTTGCTACTACAGCATTGTGCTAACAGTCATTACCGTGGTTGTCGCGACCATCATCGGGATAGTGCAGTTCCTCAATCTGGTGCTCAACGTTGCCGAGCCGCATGGCAAGTTTTGGGAAGGCGTCGAAAAGCTGGGCGATGCTTGGGATATAGTTGGTGAGTTGATTGATCGCACTAAAAGAATTCGACACTAACAGGATGCAGGCGGAGCTATATGCGGTACATTTATCGTTTTCGGTGGTCTCAGTGTTCTGCTGTACAAGCCTTGGAGACGTCGCATCGATAGGAAAAGAGTCAACAATGCGCACTTTGAGCCATTACCCCAGGAAAATGATGTGCGCGGCTCCGACGAAGAGCACAACCGAGGGATCGTCCCATCGAGTACGACACAGACAAAAGCGGTGGAGGTGAACATCGAGCCAGTAGAAGCCATAGGCGCTGGTCCTGCACGTTGTTGAAAACTTTGTGTCAACAGCACCAGACGTCGACCCTTCAATTTGATATTACCTGACAACCTGCCTATATCCTTTACCTCTTCCGATCCCGAGACCATTTTCCGTCAAACTGCGGACTCATACATGTCAAGTCGAGCATTCTCCCTGCGGAATCTTTCGAATACGCTATGACGTCCTGAAGAGCACACGAGACCGCTGCAGAGATCTGTTGGAGCTGGCCGTTCGAAGTGATGGTGTATGAGTAGTCTGTCAGAGTCATATGCATCGATTGAAAAAGGCAAATCGTGTATATCTGAGGAGGTGCGATCTTTTGGACCGAAAGTCGGGTTCGTGTACGGTAGAAGCAGACTGTATATGGGTGATGACATGGACGGGCGTGGAAATGAGCGGCAGCTGCCGAACCTATGTGTCTATGATGAAAAGGCGTGTTTGGTGACCTGCAACTTGATTGGGTCTGAGTGATTGTGGATGATGGCGCTGCTGAATTGGGACCGAAGGAATGCCGCAGGAGGCTGTCCATGCTTTACAAGAAGAGGGGAAGACATTGAAGAACTCTTTGTTACGCACTCAAACCACTGTCTCTTATGATGAATCACCATGATGGGCACAGAGACGAGTTGCGCATTAGAGACAACACATGTTTGTCTTTCTACTACCGCTCACGGCGTAACTTTAGCTCTTCAAGATTGTACACAACCATGAGAACCTTGGTGCCAACTCCACCTTTTATTAGCTTGGAGTCAAGCTTGCGCGGCTTTCAAACCTCCCAGTCTGCGATCTTCAGGACAGCTTCTTGAGTGCCAAACACACGCAATGTATTGCCAAACTCGTTCCAAAACTCTGAATCAAAGGCTGGGATGAGCTCCATTGGCTGTCGCTTAACCTGCTCCAACGGCACCCATCCCGTCTTATCTTGGACGTAGACGTCATTTTCCCATGACCCGGCGACGTCTTGAACCTGTTCGTCCCATTTTGCAAGTTCACTATCTTCAGGAAGCTTAACCTCTCCGTCATCTTCAGTCGAGGAAGATTCGGCGTCAGGGCTCAGAGCTTTGAGCGTGTCGAATAGGTTCTTAGTTTCGAATCGTTGTTGTCTTGCCTCCTTTTTCCTAGCCTTGGCCCTTTGTTTCTTTGTTTTCTTGGGTTGAGGCTGCTCCACTGGGGGCAGGGGAACGGGCAGGTCGACCTTCTCGCGTCCATCTTTTAGAAAATCCTGAACATCTTCCGCCAACACTCCTTTCGTTTTGTTACTGGAACGGCTGGGCAATGGCGCCGGAACCTGTTCTCCTCGCTCCGCACCAAGCTTGGCGGCGAGCCTGATCATGATGGTGGCAGTAAGGAGGCTGTCATAGCCTGCTTCGTGGAAGGCCTCAGTCTCTTGGTACTTTGGATGGTCGGCATGCGTGACAATGTGGGGCAACGGCTGCAGACTTGAATTCTCGGCAATATCCTGTAGTGTAGGGGAGGCGTTGAGGTCGCCTTCAGCATGAGTCGCTAGATATTTAGTGTCGATGATGTTAGGGAACAGCTCATGGATAGCATCCTGGAAGCCTTGCAGGGTATCCTGTACAGAGTTAGCGCGTTAACCAGATAAGGAGATGTTGCACGTGCAGGCAGTTGGCCGACAAAAGTACGATAAAAGTAGACAATGTCAGTGAACATGTTGTGGCCGACTAGCACGGGCTGCTTGATTTTAAGTCTCTCTATGGCTCTGTCGTAGCGATCCCTTATATCATGTGCGTCGGCAGTGACAATGGTGCCAGTAGTGCGTGCGACATAGAGTGGATCTGCGCGATTGATGTCGCCGCCCTTGACTAAAGCCTCAAAGATCCAGCGGAAGCCGGTTTGTCGGACAATGGATTCTTTGACGCGGTTCTTGATCCTGCGCATGTTGTCGGCCTCACGCACAGGGTCTAGATGAAGGATACGAATACACTCTCCGCGTCCTATGGACACCAACTCTGGGAACTCTGCGCGCACGAGCTGATGCACGAGACGCTTCTCGAATCGCGTGATGACGGGTATTACGGGCGGAGTGGAAAGCCCTGTATGAGTTGTAATGTCCAAGGACGGCGAAGTGCTAGATTTCCATTTCTCAATGGCTTGCCTCACCCTGCGCATAAAGTCGAGCGACTCGACATCTGCCGAGTTAAGTTGCAGATCGGGTATGGGATTCTTGTTCTCGAGTCGATCCCAGGCCATGCGCTTTGCTCGCTCTGCTTCCTCGCGGGATAAGTACTGTACGCCTGTGGCAAATGGAGCCCCCAGGTCGAAACCATTGTTGAGGAGGAAGGTACACGCGCCGCTCTGAAACTTGATCTCACGCTCAAAGTCGATGCGCTCGTCAAAAAGCGGGCTGATGTTGATGTTGTAAGGCCTCAAGACATAGGTATTGGCAAGGTAGTCGAAGCGCGCGCAAGTGATACCTACCTGTAGGATCTGATAGCGGTCGGCGCCCATTTTGGTCTCGGCATAGCGCTCCTCCATGGTGAAGCGGGCCGGGCCATGTGCAGGTTTGTCTTGGATGCGCGATGGAATGCCGGACAGTTCGAGATCAAAAGACACAAAGTCGGCCTCGGATATGTGGATGAAGATGGCCAGCAAGTGGTGCGGGAAGGTAGCTGCGTCGACGTCCATGATGGCGAGACGCGTAGAGATGGTCGTGGAGGTTAGCAGCGATGGATCAAGCGACAAAGCGCGTGTCTAGCTCCTGCCTCTGAGCTTGACGCAGGCAAGCGCGTGTCAATACCTTGACAACGTCTGCAGACTGATGCAAACGCAGATAGCTCGGGGTGTCGGAGGCAGGTGACGCGCCAAGGCGGTTCGGGTGAGGTGAGGTCAGCCGAGGTTCGAAATGTTGACACCGGGCGCTCCGTCACCCACCGCTATGCGCTCGTGAAGCTCAGAGGACATCGAAACATGGCGACGCTCTACGACGACGTCAGCGGGTCGCGCTACCTCTCATCATCCATCTCGTCGCTCTCGACGTCACGGCAACAGTCGTCGCAGATGGCCAAAGCCTACCGACAGGCTGCCCAGCTGTTCCTGACGCGACGCCTCCCCGAGGCGCTGTCGACCATCGAGCCCATCATCAGCCCGCCGCCAATCGACGCGGCCGACGTCGTGGGCCACGCGCCCGTCGCGACGGCGTCGCGCGGCACCCGGGTCAAGGTGTGGAGCTTCTACCTCACCTTCCTCAACGCCGTGGTCGAGCTGGGCGCCGAAGAGGGCAAGCACGCCTTTGGCAGCACGCGATGGAAGCACTTGGTCTCGCAGTGTCGCGACGGCAGCATCTGGGACCACGTGGTCCGCGACGGCTATGCGGGTGTCGAGGGCGACGTCGACGCCGACGTGGTCGTCAACCTCGCCACCCTCCTCCTTACCCATGCGCCCTCGCAGCGGCTCAACCAGCAGAAGCTCGAGACGTACCTGTCCGCCACGGCCAACCCGGCCCCCGACGCCTCCGCACACCTGTCTGACACCCCGCGCGACCTGGAAAAGCGCATCAAACTCCTCGAGCTCTACACCCTGCACGTCCTGCCACGCAACGACGAATGGGACTATGCCCGCGACTTCATCGACATGTCCGAGGTGCTGGACCAAGAGCGCAAGGAAGCCTTCCTGCTCGCACTGCACTCTCTCAAGGAAGAAAAGGAAGACACGCAAGCCCGCGAAGAGAAGCTGCGCCAGCAACAACAGGAGCAAATGGACCAGCGCCGCAGAGAAACCGAGGCCCAGCGCCTCGACCAGGCGCGCGCACAAGACGAACGCCGCATACGCGAGGAACAAAACAGACGCCAACCCCGCGGCTCAGACGAGCCACAACCCACGCCATCGCAGTCTTCCCGCACCTCCCGAACGCCCGCCAAGAAACCAACCACACCACCACCCGGCCTCTACAACCGCGCGTCTACCATGTTCGCAAACATACACACCATGATTTCGGATACGGCCCATCACATGACTTCCAATCCCATGGCTTTCTTCCGTACTTTACTTTTCTTATTGGCGTTTGGCTTGGCGTTTGGCAGGCGCCATCTTAGAGAGAGGATACTACGCATCATACGGAGTGCGTGGGACAAGGTGAGACGTACCGTAGGAATGGGCGTCAAGGTTTCCTACATCTAACCTGTCTGCCATATGTGGGTCCGGTTCTTATGGTTATATATTCTTCTTTCTAAACATTACTACCGTCGGCCATGCTAACCTCTTGCAATACTATCATGCTCTTCGTCTTCGTCCTTGGTGTCGGTCCTGTCATATCACATACGCTAGCCTTCATTGCAGCCTTGGCCTGTCCCGGGCTAATGCCATTGCGCGTGTCTTCCCACATTCCAGACATTAGCCGTTACGGAGACAGAGCTGTTCAAAAAGACTGCCCATCCTTTGCATATGACTACGTTCGTGCTGGAACGCAACCAAATCCATGCGCTTACTGGACCTTGTGTCTGGAACCCAGTGTCTTCCTTCTTTGCTTGATCATGTAGGTGTACATGGTGTAGGAACCTAATAAGATGTGAATTTCGAGTATAAACAGGCCGCCATAAAAGAGTACATACCTGGAATGTAGAGCATCAAACAGAAGTAAAAGACGGGCGGTATGACTGGGTTGACCTTCGCTCCAGGAGCAATAGACCGGTACAGTAACCACCACTCAGCCCCGATACCGACCGGATAGAGTGGGTAGAACATGGTATACCTGGGACAGTCAGCTACCTAGGTAGGACCAAGTAGCGGATGAGGTGGCTTGAGAACATACCGGAGCCATACCAGTCCTTTCGGAGCTTTCCCGTGCATGTTGACCGCAAGATACAGGTACCGGACGGTGTCTGCGACCGACCAAGCAAGGAGCAAGGCAAGATAAGCATGCGAAGTTGCCGTGCTTTGCGGAAAGCTGTACCACACCACCCAAACCTGTATGACGCGTGTAACAACTTGAAGTGCGGTTGTGCTGACTGGAGATTTGATGACACCTGGTATCGTTCTCAATGAGATGCACAAGAAGAGGTAGGAATGATGAACATACCAAACGCCGCATGTAAGACTTCTATCAACGAAGCGGTCTGTATCCATCGCGCATATGGCTCTGTTGCATCAAAGAGCTCGAATTTGCTATTTCGAGCATTAGACACGGCTCGAACGAAGACCGATGCCCATAGCGATGCGAAGAGGACGTTGTATGCAGTAAGGTAAATCGTGCGAAATTGCCATGTCACTGCTGGCGTAGTAAGCTCCATACGTTGGTTAGCCATTCTCGCTCCTGCCGCTCAGGATTTAGTTGGTGACACTTCGAGGCATGAGTGAACACATTGCGCAAGCAGAAATTGTCGTCGTGGTTTCCATCGGCCACCAAGTCAAATGTAGGCGATGAGCCGAGGCTAACTCGGTGTAACTCCGCTACTGAAGAGCACTCGTAACCTCTCGTTTCGAACTTTGAAACACTCTGTGTAAGGATATCTATGATTTTAGCTTCTAGCTTCCGCTTTTCTTCCTCCAATTCTTAGGCGCAAGCGCGAACTTCAGGTGCCATCTGCTGCATTGGCTAGGGTCGGTTGGGCACTGGCCAATCGGAAACACGTAATGACTGATTGCAGGCTGCCACTGGGAACTGCTCACCATCAAACAGAAAGCGTATCAAGCAGCACCTATACCCAAATGTGTACTACGGCCACAAAGAGTAAGGCGTGCACAAGCTCGCATCGCATCCCAGTTTCTTACTTCAAATCCTTACAAGCATTGCAGACGCCTGGCTGAATTGCTCACCTAGACAGCTGTTTGGAAAGCTTGCGACAGCCACTTACATACCTACCCAATGTATCAGTCTACACTCTTGAGTGTACGCCCCCATGGTCGCGTTGAGCCGACTGTTCGTGTGACACAAGCTCATGCGTGCGTCTACTAGTCTGCGCTACCCGAATGAATATCAGGGAAAGCGGGTGAACTCAAAGATATGGTCCCTCTATATCTGTTGTAAGCTTCCAAAGCAAAAGGAAGTAGTGCGACCATGTCCACAAATTCTGCATGCATCACTAAAGCGGCCTCTGTTGTTGCAACTTCAAAGCAGGTACATGTAATGGCGAAATAGCTTTCTTGGGCGGCATCCATGTTATTGATCTTTCCTCTTTTGCTTTTATGAATAGGGGTGTTGGCGAAGTATGGACTTTTGAGACGCTGAGTCGTCCAACCCCGGCGACGGAGATTCGCCAACAATAGTAGGAAATTGTTCTTCCACGCGCTGAGTCCATCGAATCTCCCCTTCTTGTCCATCCTGTTCCCCATCATTCAATGCGTTCGCGTGAGTTGGCGAGTTTATCGCACATAGCTCTACGACTGTGCCATCATTCTCGGCATCCACGATTGCGGATAGGCGATATGGATCCTTTGTATCGCGAGATGAGGCTTTGCCTCGCTGTTGTGCTGTATTAGAGGCATTATTTTTGTCCTGCAATGACTTGTAGCTTCGTTTGCTCGTAGAGTTGTAAGTGCTGCGGTCCGTGGTGTAGCTTGAAGGAATATTCGTGGGCATCTTGAACCCGTTCTGGCAGTATCGTATCAGGTTTCTGATTGTGGGGACGGCAGCGCATATATGTGCAACTCCACTGGAGGTGAATCCAGTAATCGATGTGCCAGTCACTGTGTAGGTTGGGTCGATAGTGTCGACAACCCCTGGTAAAAATGGCAAGCGTACGATGGACATGATAATAACACTTCGGAAGGGTTAGATTACACAAATCGAACAAGACCAAGACAAGACGTACCAGATACCAAGGCTAAAGAAGATGAGTAGCTGTATCTTCTTTGCAGTCTTCATCTGCAGCTTCCATACAATCGGGATAGGAAGACTGAATAGGATAGTCTCAGCGATGATCTCGTATACAACCGTCAGTCTCAAGACGGCAATATAGTCGATGCATTTCGCGGTTTCTTGCTCTTGAAGATTCCAGATAGCGCGGACTGGAATACATTGGAACGCAGCCAGGAAAAGTAGGGGCAGGGTGAACAGAGCCGTAAAAGCCATGAAGGCGAAGACCGCGCGCTTCAACCAGACGTTCGGAAAAATGCGAATATACAAGCAGAGAATGCTGTACTTTATGAGAAGCAATTCGACACCCCACAAGATGGTAGCAATATAGGCTGTCTGTAGTCAGTACTTATGTATCAGAGCTAGCAGATGGAAGCGTACTCCATTTGCCGATTGCGACGACACGTGGATATGTCAGGTCCCATATATGATGGCCGAGTCCCGCTTTGAGGTTCAATAATAGGGCAACAGTCATAGGGATGACCAGGACCTGCACAATCGTAAGTAAGATGACACTGATTTGTCCATCGAACACCTACCACCGCTGCTAGATGGAGCCAATCGTCCCACCAGAGCTTATTGCTGCCCACATATCGAGAAGCAAAGCGCATTACAATCACAATGATTGGTATGATTCCAGTCACGTATGCCACTATCCGGATGGAGTTCGATAGGTTATCGTGCGGCTTGTCGCAAATAGAGGCTTGAATGCGGAGCGTAGCTACAAACACATCAGTGATACCGCTTCCGATCACTGCGACGAACATACCAAAGGTCTCGTTGTAGTTGCACTGCTTTTCCAAGCACGGTTGCAAAATCTTGGTCGAGTTTTTGGAACTACATTGGCACTCTATGTCGAGGAGCGTACAGCCAATGGCAGGCAGGTTTTCGTTGATACAATCTAGCTTTGCAACAGTCAGCTGCAACAATCGTCCTCTTGTGCCATGTATATCTTACGGCGCATGGCGGAATCTGGCTCAATGCATCCAGTGCCGCATCGTCTAATGAGACAGCATTCGTCGTGGGGCAACAGGCGCTGACCAACAGCACAAAGGTAAACGCTAGGTGCGGGAACAGAAGGAGCATTTTGACAAGGTAGTTTACGACGATGTGCACGGGTAGTAATAATTGCTTTTCGTGCTGGTGTAGAATGCAGAGTCCGCTGTAAAAGCCACAACACATGAGCGCACGGGCGAGGCCATGTAACCTCGCCGAATCTACCCAATTCCTAAACTGACTCAGTTATCATATGCTATGTGCCGTTGGTGTCAACTTCAATTTGCCGGTGGCGGGTGGATTAGGGCTCGTCACGAAACGGGTTCGACGCAGTTAGTGGAGCTTTGTTTACGTCCAAGGAAGGGATAAGCCTGTCATCAAGCTGCCACTCTATGTCTCACAACGGCGCCCAGTCTTACCCACTGGTGAAGTGGCAGTGAGCAATCTTCCAAGGCCTGCTTCAGTTCCTCTACTAGAGTGAGATCGCAACGATTAGCGATGGAGATGATCTTTCCTTGAGTATCCACAAAATCGTATGCCACACGATCTCCACAACGGCTGGCTTGATCCGCTGCACCACGGCGGTGCAGGGTCGCTCGAGTCAGCCCTAAAGAGCTGGCGCATGTACCGGTGGATTCAACCCCTGGAAGCAATCATTGCTCCATCCCCGCAAAGCCGATCGGATAGCCCGCGATCAATTGTTCTTGATGACCAGGTCATGTTCGCCGAGCTATCGGTCATGTCGGCAAAATCCTCGATTGCGCAAGTGCTGCAAGCACCGCTGAGTCGGTACGCTAATGTTTTGATTGGCTGAGTGACATGAGAATTGCGCTACCATCGGAAGTGCATCAAAACACCTGCTTGCCGGCTCGCTATACCTTCTCCGACGTATCTATGCGCAGCACTTTATTCTGCTAGAATTCTGCTCGAGGCCCTGCATCGCGGAGGATAAACAACCCGGGAGCTAGCCTGCATCTAATTTTGGAAGTTGCCGAACGCACCACGAATGGCATATCGTGACGAAAGTGCGGCTGTTTATCGTGAGCCACCAATATTTGTCTTTCAGGCGACCCATTCCACCTCGTCAAGATGAACCTGTATAGTATAAAACCATAACATATCGAGGTGACCTTTAATTGGCCCACTCAACTCACCTACGCCCTTTCCAGTTCCACGTTCCTGACAGGCCATGTCCAGGCATGCCTCTCATTGGCAAGTAGAGTAGTAGCAACTTCCCGTAGCTCCGCATCGCTTAATGCTTGTGTTCCGGACACTCGTTTGCAACGCTACCTAGGTACACCAGAAAACCAGTACTAGCAAATATCAACAGCGCAGCCATCGCACCCTGCATGACACTCGTAATTGCGCCACTGCATATTGTTTCTTTCAAAAAGCGATGGCTATATCTGAAGACGAATTCACAAAGCCGGCACAGTTGTCAATGCCCATCACTGCTGATGTGAGAGACTTTCGCTGTATCGGAGTGATGGTGAATCTAGCTTTGTCGTAATTGGTTATCGGGTAAACACTAGATAAAAACGTATTTCCGGTTCGGGGCACCGTACAATTCTTTGGATCCAAGTAGCTTACGATAGGAACGTTCTCGAACCTGCGGTCTACCTTAATCCGCCCATTAGAGGTGATATAGGGTTCATCGAATAGGTGTCGCTCGTTGGGTATCGTGGCAGTAACGACATTGTTAGTGGTGATCGACAGGTGTCCGGTAAAGTTTCTGTCACCCATTAGCGCAAATGGCGGGCTTATGATGAGCACTAAACCTACGAAATGTTCGGCTGTACTCTCGTCGCGCCGCAGAAAGACCTGCTGGATGGGTCATTGTTGATTATCGACAATTTAATTCTAGGCCAGCATACCTAGGTAGCATGGACAGCCAAAAGACGCTCAGGACCGTCTGTACTACCGAGGTACGATGCTTCTAGCTGCTCCGAGCTGTTCAACATGTAACACTTTTCCTCTATATTCTAATTGTAACATGAGCCCAGTAAGGTCGAGCTTCGGGCCCTCGCGACATTGCCAGCGTGACTTGAACAACATCAAAGCTATCGCAATCATACCGTGTACCAAAGTACAATCTCAATGACCCAGCCCGAACCAGGACCAGACCGCAGTCTAAGTCTAAGGCGTACTGCACTCTATGCTTTCTATTCTTTTTGAATTCGATGGCTTTCTTTGACATGTTACATTGCCGAACTACCCAGTTAGCGCGGTGGTTCTGGGCTTGCCATGTATTGTAGACTATCGTGCGACAGCTGCCGCTACTCTCCTGATGGTAGATTTTTTCCTGTTCTCGGTGCTTCCATCCTTCTGCGAAGTGGCATTGTCGGGACTGAGGCAAGTACGCTTTCTAGCCGAGATTACTCGTGTGGCATCGTTTGCAGGGGCTGGGCATGAGTTCGTTCGGGCTCACATCGTAGTGGTCGGGAATACCTAGGT